TTCCGTCTTTTCCACCATGTTTGGATTTTTTACAGTAAGATTTGAATGCTTTCCCCCTTTCTTGGAATAACTTTCTAGAAGCTGGTTGCTGCAACGCTGCGCCCCCTGGGGGCGGCGGCGGGAACGGCGTCCCTAGGCTGCCTTTGGCTGTGGCCTTGGGTTTGGCAGAAGCTGGGGCTGTCAGAGGAGCATAGCTTTGCGCTTTTGCAGGGATTGAGCCGCAGAGCAAGGCGACCAGGCACGCAGCACCGAAGCTGCAGGAGCCTGAGAAGAAAGAGCCAGTGTGCGCCGAGCAAGTCCAAAGGCTTCTCCAGGCACAGAGATTCGCGGGGAGGGGCGCGGGCAGAGAGGCCATAGTCCCCTGCCAGGACAAAGGGGCCTTAGTACTAGTGAGCAGGCGGCTCCAGGGGCCTGGTGGTAGCATAAAGGGAAGCTGTGTCTCCGCAGCACTCAAAATCACCTTTGTCTTCGGAGTCCAAGTCAAAGAAAGGTTACAGAAGGAGCCTGCAGGCTCTCCTCCCTCTGCAGGGGTCGGTCCAGAGTAAGAGCCAAGTTCTTTCCCAAGATGCTGGGAATTGAGATGAAAATAGAAATGTGCTTGCCTGGTTGCGGCGACAGTGGTCAGTTGTGTAGAAGGCACGTCCTTTGGCCAGGGTTCCCTTAGAGGGAAAGCCAGATCAAAGAACTGAAACCCGTGTTCCGGAAGGGGCCCAAGCACACAAGATACACACGCAGCAATGAGAAGCCACCCTCGTTGGGAAGTGGGGGAGATCCGGAGGTGGGCCCGTTTCTTCTCAGCAGACTAACTAGCCAGCCATTCACTTGTGGCTGCTGTCTCTTTGCTGCCCTGATGGCTGCACCCCTTCGGTCAGTTGGAGAAGGGCAATGGGACAAGGATAAAACACCACCATCCTTACATGTGGTCATTGCATGATCTTCTGGAGCTGTTGTAAAGTTAGGTGTCTGGACCAGACCTCTGTTGACACTTAAGGCCAACAGGTGCGAAGTGCTCTTGTCTGAACTCCCTCAGTCACCCCAATAGCTTGCAGCAGAATGGGAAGCTGCGATGTGTGCGATGTGGCAAGATGAACCCCCCCAACACACCCACACACCCACACACCCTACAGCAGGCCAACTTTCCACATTCATTAATACATCCCTTCTCTGACAGTCCAGTGATTTGATCAAGGCCCACTATCTGAAAAATGGCAGAGTCAAGACTCCAGATGTTTCTATACCTGTGCACTGACTTCCCTCACACTGAGTAGGCAATTGTAGAGACACAAGAGGTCAAGTAGCCTACTGCCTTACAATGGTCATATCTAGTAGCCATTAAAAAGCTGGTGAGAAACTAAATTAACAGAGGGCATGTAAATCGGTCATGGGAGAAAGATTTGAGGTGAGAGGCTATGGAGAGATAGGGGCTTAAACTATTGCACACATTCCTCATTGTATTGCCCTTCATGAACACTGTGCTAAGTCAGTCATAGGAGAAAGATCTAAAGTGAGTGGCTATGGAGAGTCAGGGGTTTAAGCAGTAGCAGCCATTCCTCATTATTGCCCTTAATGAACACCTTGCTTTACACAGTTTGAAGGTTTGTGCTGACCCTCTACTGAGCACATCTGCTGGTAATATGCCCTCCCTTCAGCTCTCAGTCTTTGTTTCAGTAATCCTCCCAGTGTTTCAAATGTGTTCGTTATCAATGCATTTATACTGGTGATCTGGGCTCAGTGACATTCGCTGGTGCTGTGTTATGTAACAGTTTTGGGGTGCCCCTGGCCTGTGGCTGTGTAAGACAGAGAACTGGACCTTAGTAAACACTTTAAGAGTTCTGGCTGCTTCGTCAACCAGCCAATGTCTTTCTCCATCTCCTCAGGTTTCCCTATTCCCCTAGGTAGGATAATATTGAGATTAACAACCACACAAGGCTTGTAAGTGTTGAACTGAAAGAAAAAAGCACACATCTCTCACTTGGAGAAGAAGGCATGTCCAAGGCCAAGGCAGGCTGGAAGCTGGGCTTCTGGCACCAGCTGGCCAAGCAGTGAATGGGAAGGGAAGGCTCATGAGGGAAACTGCAAGTACCAGTCAGTGCGCACACACACACACACACACACACACACACACACACACACACACACACACACGATAGCAGAGCACAACAAGTTTAGTGGTCTGGACAAAAAAAAAAAAAAAATCAAGTTAGCCACCACATTCCTGTAAGATAAAGGCCAACCCAGAGAAAGGCTCTTTACTTTCCTCTTTTCTATGATGAAGCTGGGCAACTTAGGGACATGTGCAGATGTTGGTTCATGGGGACTCTGGAAAACTGCTGCTCTCTGTAACATGAAAGAACAAGGTGAAATGGCAAACTGGCTAGGTGTGGCCACCCAGGTCTGTAGAGCTGCTGTGAAGGAAGTGGAGGCAGTTTAGTGAGACATCTCAGGACAGAACAAACTAGGGTGACAATTACCAAATCCCTATATACTGTAACATGTGTGTGTGTGTGTGTGTGTGTGTGTGTGTGTGTTATCATAGCAACAGAAAGCTAATACATCATTTGAAAGGATATAGCTGCCATAGCTAGTGATTCCTCTGATGGATCCGAGTGAAATAATTTAAAACCTTCTGAGAATGACCACTCCAGATGTTATCAGGAAGGCATGAGCCGGGGTTTTGCCTAAGAGGCAGAGTACTTGCCTAGCATATGCACGAATTTGGTTCCCATCCCCAGCACCGAATACAAAATGTGACTTGTAGGAGAAGGGAAGTGTCAACATTGATTCCAGCCCTTGTGGATGATGTTGAAAGGCTCCAGATCTTAGCAGAGAGTTAACTGTGGACATGGCAGAAAAATCCAGAGAACCAGAAAGAGAAGCAGACTGGGAATGTGATGGGTGAACGGCCCTCTCACACAAAGCTTTAGCAATGAGTCGCCTCTCACACATGAACAAAGCGGTGCTTTCCTGAGATGGAGTCTATGCCTGGCAGAGCAGCTGTAAGTATTGCTGTCATGGTAACAAAATGGAATATTCAGAATCAGAGAATCACTCATGAGAGTATGGGCTTAATCCTAGACTCCACAAAAAAAAATGACAGCATGACATACTGGAGAAACACTTTGTGAAACGAAGAGCCTAAGGATACAGTGACTTCACTGCCCTGGGTAAGCAATTGCCATAGACACCCCAGCATCAGAACCAACACTGATCTGTTACCAACCACCAACATCAAGGTTTCATTTTACCAATTGCAACTCACTAGAGGTGTTTTTTAGTAATAAAATATTCTGAAACTGTCACATACATTGTTTAGACAGAATTCTACCACACAGCCAATAAACTACAGCATAGTGTAACCATAACTTCCAAACACACAGAGAAACCAAATGTGTCATGTGCCTTGCTTTGTGGCAGTATTTGCTTTCTTGGGTGGTCTGGAACTGCTCTGGCTTAGAAACCTCACAGGATTGTCAACAGATTCTCCAAATGCCCTCTTAAAACATCACCTGTGGCAGCCTAGGAACCAAGTGCATGGCAGAAGAGCTATTGTTTAATAGACTTCTGTAGTGGTTTTGGTATGTATGGCCTCCACAGACTCACATGTGTGAATGCTTGACCCATAGGGAGTGGCACTATTGAGAGGTGTGGCCTTGTTGGAGAAAGTGTGTCATATGGAGGTGGGCTTTGAGTCTTACATGCTCAAGCTAGGCTTCATGTGACACAACAGCTTCTGCTGCCTGTGGATAAAGATGTAGAACTCTCAGCTCCTTCTCCAGTACCACGTCCACCTGCATGCTGCATCACACCACGATGATAATGGACTGAACCTCTGAAACTGAAAGCTGCGCCCTCACTTAAATGTTCTCCTTATAAGAGCAACTGTGGTCCTGGTGTCTCTTCACAACAACAGAAACCCTAACTAAAACACTCCCTTTCCCTTTTCACCAGAAAAGCAGTATATCTCAGCAGCTTTAACTGCCTTCAGGAGCTATGCACACCCTCTTCTGATCAACTTAAAGAAAAACCAAGTGTCAAGTTTCTATAGCGTCTCAATGTTTTAGTGAGACAGAGATCAGCAGGTGTGACCGAGTTTACTGCTCAAGATCCATACAGCCCAGGGAAGCACTGTGCATAGCTGCGGACTCTAAGACACAGTAAAGTGTGTAGCAGGCTTTCTTGGACCGCCAGGCCGCAAATCATGATGTAGAGACTGACTTTCTATTAATTACGAAAGCTCAGCTTTAGCTCAGGCTTGTTTCTAACTAGCTCTTATAACTCAAATTAACCCATTTCTATTCATCTACGTGCTGCCACGTGGCTTTTACTTCTCCTGCACATCCTGCTTTCTCTGCATCTCCTCTAGTGTCTCTCCCTCGCCTAGATTCATCTCTTTTCTCTCTAACCTCTTCCTGCCTAGCCATTAGCCACTCAGCTCTTTACTAAACCAATCAGAATGTGCCTTGGCAAAGACACATCTTCACAGTGTGCAAAATGATTATTCCACAACAATAAAGCTGTGGCTAGAGTTTGAATTCCAGATCTGCCACTTAACTGGCTGTGAGATCTTGGATAGTTTCTTAGTTTTTCTACCACTGTATTGCCTGGAAAAGGCAAGAGCAGCCATGGCAGGGCTGCTGTGTGCCCTGAGGGTCAACCATGGGGAAACAAGGGACCTACAGGAGGCTAAGATCAGGACAGTCTGCTCAGAAGACAGGTGGGTACCACAGATGATGCTGATCCCTGCACAGAGATCGCTATTGCTCCATGAGAATCCTGGCAAAGCCGTGTGAATATTAAGTGACAAGGCAGGCAAAATCCTCAAAATCTACTGGTACAGGGGAGGTCAAGGAGCTGGGGTGACATCAGAGTGCATTTCAATAACCAATTTTATTAGCAGAGAAGACCCCACTAGTACTTACAGAGTGCAAAAAGGTTGTTATTAACCTCTGAATGTGGGATAATGTTTATCCTTCACACAGAAAAAGAACACAGAAATCCTCTTTGGTATAATCCACTAATTTTGCTAGTTTTTATTAGAGCATTACAATTAAGACATTAAATTATAAATTGAAGTGGTATATTTAGAAATTAAATTACAAAACAATACAAATACTTTTAAGGTGTGATGTGCCAACTAAGTATAAATGTTATCATTAACCAGGGTTCGGTTTTTAGATTCTGCAGAATCTATGATGTGTACAAAGGTTGAAAGGGACAAGGGAGAAGGAAAGATGTTTTCGAAGAAAATATTCCACAGAAAAAAATTTAAATAAAAAGATAAGCTTTCAGTGAATTAAATTAATGTTCTAATCTGTTGGCACAATGTACAGAAAATACTTACATGATAATTTCTTAAGCAAACAGCAGCTTTACAAACAGTAATACTTTATATATATATATATATATTAAAGTAACAATGTGTTACGATTTAGCAGTTTTGTGTTAAGAGTCAAAATGAATGCAAAGATGGCTCTCTTTATTTGCACATTGTAATCCCCACCCCACCCCCACTTCCCCAGGTTATTAGAAAAATCACACAAGTATGTTATTTGGATATTAATTTGTCAATATTTAAATTATTTGGATTCCTTTTGACTAATTCTTTTCCAAATACTGGAAGCATATAAAATACCATCTCTTCAAAAATGATTCCAGCCAAAGCCTGTAAAAATTTTCAATGTATAACACATGTTATTTTTCCATGTTTAGTCAAAAGAAATTATATTACATCATTTACAAAAATTAAAACCAAAAAAATTAAGTTATTATGAACATCTGTCTTTGAGGAATAATCTTCACAACAAATAAGCCCACCAAAGAGGGAGTCAAACTGGGGAGTGGAATTTATACTGTAATTCATGTACTGATAAAAACCTAACACTAATTATTGCCAGTAAACTACATCTACACACTAAGGGAAAAAAATCAGTTTTTATTTCTTGTGCCAATAAACTCGTATTCTTACCATTAGATTTATTTCTAAGTCTCAAAGAGTGAATGATATCTATTTCCAAAAATAAGACTTTTCCTGTTTCTCATGCCTCCTCTAAAGCCTGGAACTCAACATAAATGGACACCCAAAATTTACCCAAAGGAAACAGATTATAAAGACATCGCTGATGCATATTTAAGGGTACTCAGCATGGAAGAACTTCCTTTGATAAATTTTGGGTTGTCCTCTAGAAGTGACTAGTTTCCCATATAAAGTCTGTGGTCCCTTGGATTTGTGGCAGGAAAGCCACTGTCTTTCAGAGGCCACCAACTGACCTTCTGACAACTACAGCAAAAGTTAAGTTATTGCTGTTTTCAAGATTTCCTCAACTTCTGTTTTGGTACAAATGTCAAAACTCTAAAATGATGATCCACATCCAGAAGAGAATAAAATATAAGAAATCTTTGAAAAGCCACTATCTCATGATCAAGAGCATCTGAACCACTGACATCAAGCAGGAAATAACATCGTGAAGAATAGGAAAAGTTTTCAAATCCACTTCAAGACTGTCAGTCGTTCAAAACCTCTATCATTTCTTTAAACAAGTTAAGGCTTCCAAAAATGCAGACAGTAAGAATCCACCCATGTAAATCACACTATGTCAGCTTCATTCCTTACGTCTAACTGAAGTATCAGATAATTAGTGCCTAAAGTCTACACTGGACAACAGTTTAGACTGGACGGTATACAACTGCCCCTTTAGCACACTAATCAGGTTGACTGACATTTTATATTTATATATAAAGCAATGCTCCTAAACTTTCACAATTTACAAATACCATACCATCAGCCAAGAATCTCATCTCTCCAGTATTAAATGCCAGCATTATAAAACCTCAAAACTTTCACAGTAGGTCCCAATTATTTCAGCAAAGACTTTCTCTAACTTGTCTCTTCTGCCTCTGGGAGACAAAGTCCTATCCCAGGGGGAGAAGTGCACCTGGCTGTTGCCTGCTTCTGGGAGTTCGTAAGGAGAAAGCTCATGTGTCCATCTATGTACTGATAGCTGGGCATGAAGGAGATGAAGACCAAAGACAGGTGATGTTTGATTCCCATATCTTACAAAACCTTTCTGAAGACAGCAGAATCCAGGTGATGGCTGGACAGCAAACAAAACAGCTCATTAAGTTGAGATTCTCCCAAACATACACACACACATTCCTAGAGAAGGGTAGAGATAAATAATCATGAGTAAAATTAATTTCTGCATACATTTGAATCTGATAATCATCTTTAGGATCTGCACAATTAGAATAACCTCTTTTTTTCCCTACATCTTCTTCCAAGCCATATCTGAACACGTCACAAACTGTGCAAAAGTCCTTTCCCTGACTTCCTATAACTGTAGTTCTTGCCATGAGGAAGGTACAATTTAAAAAAGATGAAATGACTTTCAATGTGGACTTGTTTGAATATGCAAACAGATCCACACCTCAAAACAAAAGGGTCCTAAAGCAAAAGCAAGCAGTAGGACACAATGGGACAGCCTTGCTTCTGGGGCCCACAGGGAAGTGCTGTGGTAATACAAACCTGTACATGTCACCTATCAGTGTTTGCTTAACTTTACATACTATGTACAAGAGCATTCCTGAGGTCAGAGGCAAGTGTTAGACAGAACCTGGCAAGTCACACCATGGTGACTGTTTGCTCTTACAGACATCCATCCCTTTCTACAAGCGAGGCTAGTGTGGTAAGTGCTCTAAGTGCTCGCCTAACTCCTGCAGGCTGTTTTAGCCCAACCCAACTTTTGTGAGTTACAATGACCAGTGGCTTCTGAAATAAACATTGTGGGCCGAGTAAAATCTGTACCCATTTTTTAATGCACAGTGCTGGGCAGCCTTGCTGCCCTCGACCTTTTAGGCCCTGATATTACCTCCAGCACTTTTCAAAAGCAGCTTCCACAACTCCAACACACAAATGACCCTGAAGCAGATGCAGTCTGCAATCAAAGACTGGTCCTTATAATGTTAATCTTCAGTTTGTAAAACAACCTTAAATAGCCATTAGTTATTTGTTTGCTTTTTCTTTAGAATTTGGTCTTCTTTCATTAATCATTATTTTTCATTACAAAGGTAGTTGAAAGAAGTCTGAATTTTCTACACAATTCTTAGAAATAGACTTAAATGCTAGTTAAAAGCAAAGCTAGAGATCATAACAAAATAGGTAAAAGCTACAAAAGGTCTGTTGGGAATTAAAAACACAGTAAGTGACTGGACAGTGGAAAACGCTGAGATGGAGCATCAGGGACGTGGCTGCTGCCAGACACAGCTGAAGGCAGCTGGCACTTCCTGAGTCATAGATTTGGGGGAGCAGAATTGGCCTCAGAGAGCTCTCTGTTCACGGAGTTGCTGGGCTTCAGCTGCTGGTCAGGGGTGCAGTGCTCACTGTCCACACCCGATTCCAGCCCCTCAGGAGCTTCTGCCGATTCCTCTCCGCTCTGCTCTGCGCTGTCTTCCTCAGGGCCAGGAAGGGCCTTGCCGAGCTGAAGGGTTTCCATAGTCCTCTGGGTCTCTGAGACCCAGGACTCAATTCTACTATTGAGCTGCACTTCTACTGATATGGGTTCATGAGTATAATCTTCCTCCTCTTCCTCTTCTTCATCCTCCTCCTCTTCAAGCATGCCAGGTACAAGAGTGCTGGTGGTGCTGGTGATGGAGGAATTCAGAAGATCTCGGCAACTGCCATCCAGGGAGCCTGTCTCTGTGCTCTGCTGTGAGGCCCACTCCAAGTCGTCCGGCTTCAGGTCATCCTTGTCACTTACGGGTTTCCCCTGGCCTGGTGCTGAGGTAGTGCTGCCTGCAGCCAGCGGCGGCTGCTTACTCACAAAGGTGGTGTCTAGTGTGAGTTTACTGGGCTTCTCAGAAGGGCCCTGCTTACAGGGAAGCTCTTTCTCGTTTTCTGACGTTTCCAAGCCATCCGAAGTCTCCACCATGCTTCTCCAATTAGTTTCTAGAAGAGGGAACACATTTTGAGAAACAGAAACATTGTATAAAACCTGCATATGAAAGCCAATGCACTGTCCCTTGGTGTTTGTGTCCCCTACAGCTACGCTGACTTCAAGGAGCCCCAACTCATAGGCATTCGAGCCAAAGATGTCCACCAGAAACAAATTCTGACCTTGAGGATCTGGAAAAGCACATCACCTAATGATTGGGTCATGCTTCATCTATACACAACCAATCTAACCATGGGAAAATGTGACAACACACATAACCTGGCTTACACAGTTTGCCACACAACACAAAGCTGACAAAACCACCTTCACAGACTAGGACTCCTGAATGAGTGTGGCTCTCCCACTCTCCTAGGTTTATTTTTTAAATAAAAATATCCAATTATCTTGCAGTAATTTGCATTTATAAGAGTAATAGTATTATCATGTAGTAAAATTGGAAAACTACACATAATAAATACTGCATTAGCCATGGGTTATACTCATCGATGCAGATGGTATCTGGGGCACTTTAGTCAGGACAGTTTATAGAGAAAGTGAAAATACAAGAGCCCTCTATTTCCTCCGGCTGCTTCAGGGTAGGCCAGACCCTTGCCACTCATTCCTACCTTATCACAGTCTACCCCTTCTAAGTGCTGTCTCACTAGAAACACAATCATTCAGTGTAAAAGCATGAGAAACCAGCCGGTTGGAAACCCTTACACTATAGTCCTTCCTATTCCACCGCTAACCCACGGAACTCATTACTTTGTGTCACTTCTAACTCAAAACTACATCTGGTCACTGCTGTCTTAACTCGGGTCTCAATCTCTCCATCTCTCTGCTGTATGTTCCAAGCTTATTTTGGAAACTGGCTTTGCCTCTGTCTAACTGGCTTTTCGTGTCCTTAAGACAAGATTCAAACTCCTCAGGTTGCAGCTTGGACCCCCTCACGATCTGAGCTTACGTCTTTCTGGTTCCACTGCATCCTGTCCCTGACCATGCAAGCTATGCTGAGTATCACTAAACCCTCACTGTCCCACAGTGACAGGATAAGCTATGCCTTAGCATCCACTGCTCTGTGGAAGTCCTGATGCCCACTGCTTGGAGCCCTCCTTTCTGACTGTCCCAGGAGAGTTCACTGACAGAACCCACTGCACTTTACATTACATTCAAAAGCACTTCCTGTTTGCTATTCCATCTCATCCTTCCCCATTCTCACCATATCTGTGTTCCTGGACCCCTTGTTTGGTTTGGAAGTAGATGACTTCCGGTGCCAAAAGCTGACCTGGTCTAGCAGAGGATGGGGTGGGTGAGAGAGTGAGTGGCTTCCATTCAATATTGGGCAGCCAGACCCCCAGCACCTTCTCCTCTGGGCTCCAGGGCTTGAAGTGCTGCCACCTGCTCCCCGCCCACCTTGGACCCTGGCAACCATGAGTGGCAGCGCCTGGCTACCCTTGGCAGATCGGTTGAGTGTTGTGGTCAGGAAGATTATTCCTATGGTTTCTAATACTGTAAACTCTTATTTCAGGATTTGTAATTTGGTCATTTGACATGGTTTCCCAAAGAACGTTTTGTCTGTCTTTCTGTGTGCATAGAAATGTGTGGCCACTGAGCGCTTGTTTCTGCTTGGTTTTGAATGTCTGGGTTTACATATTCCATCTGTCCTGGTTAACAGCTCAGCTACTGCTATAACCACTGGTAGCATGGGCTCAGAATTTGCCTCTGGGTTTTATTGAATCTGATATGATGACGGAGAAAGTTATTTCATGCTGTTCTACCTTATTAAACAAAAACAGCTCAGAAACTGGGTATGGTTAAAAATCTGTAACAAAAAGTTAATTTAAAACTTGTAATAGAAAATTGGAATTTTTCTGGGAAATAACATGTGGTCTGCTGCCACTTTGACTAAGGTTATAAACAGGAGATCATATGACTTCACCGCTATCTTAAATAAAGTAGACCATGTGTGTGGAGTGGGCTCACCCAGGAGATATCAGGTCTCCAAGTTACTTTACATTAGGACAGATGTTCTACATGCTAATCTGTCCTGTCATAAAAACAAAGTTTATGAAAACTAGCATTTAAAACTGAGGTATTAAAGCTACCCCTCAATGCATCCATGTACAGGGATTTACTTGCTGATAGCCAGATTTTGAAACAATGTTAAAACTTGGTTTTGCCTTCCACAGATTAAGATTATGCTCTATGTTTTAGGACCAGAGCTGAACACCAGAGACCGTGATACATCTATCCTATGACGCAGCAAGACAATGACCTAAACCGTCTCCTTATCTAAGGTCTATTCAGACTAACAGAGACAAATTTAAAAATATATGTCTATCCTTCTTGCTTTTTTCTACTTTTGCAAGTTGTAGTTAATTTGGTAAACTAAGTCATACAAAAAACTATTATATATATATATATGTTCTCAAAGTTAGCCTAAATAACATTTGTCTAGTTTAGGTATGCCTAACAGATAATCAGCCCCTGGTCCTCAAACACCTCACAGATCTGAGAAGATGGCATTTTAATAAAAAGCTTCTCATGATAGAAGTAAGTCAGCTCCTGGAAGCACCCTGTAAATCCTTCAAGGAAGATGGATGGCCACAGAAGAATTTCCATCTGGAAGCTTGCTTTAAATATAGGTTAGCCACGGAGTGGAAAACAGCTTTGTACTTTAATGGCTGCCAAGACCCTGTCCAGACTGTGGACAAGCAGGACACTGGGGAATTGACTGCTCTGCTCTGTCAAGACAACGTAGACCACTCTCCCCAATTTCCTTCTCCACAGCAAAGTCTGTCAGATCTTCCCGGCCTGGCAGCTGAAAGTAACAACTTCCCTGGGACCTCTGTTCCCAACAACCATGGAGAAACTCAGGGACAGCTGCCCTGAGTAGCTGCAAAGCTGTCTCACTTCTGCCCACCAGGTGATGTTTATCCTCCTTGGATCTGATGGCGCTTGATGGCCAGCGTACTGATAGTTCACCAGTTTAACAGTTCTCCCCCAAACCCAAGGCTGCGGCTACTCAGTAGCTCATTAGTTCACAGGCTTCACAGTACAGGATAAACAGGTTTCAGATGTAATTCTGGAAGTTCAGAGTTTTAGCATTCATAAATCCAGTTTTGATAAACTGACAGGTTTTTTGTTTGTTTGGTTGGTTTTGTTTTGTTTTTAGTATTACTGCATTGTCTTCAGCCACATATGAAAAACTCTGCAGAAATGCCAACTCTTCCCCCTCTGAAACAGGTTAGCATTAAAGAGGGCATGGAACCCTGCAGGTGTGCTCAACTCCCTCCTCCATCATTCATGCAACCTCTTTCATTCAGTAAATTCCCTGTTTGTCTTCTAAAAATGTTCATACCTTTTAACTGAAAGCCACAGCCTTTTACTATGACACTAAGCTGTAAAGCTGTTCCCTCTGTTTTACAGAAATCTGCAGAATCCTGGAGAAAGGGTTCTGCTACTGTATCAAGAAATCTGGCCTAGTTGAAACTAATATCAGACCCTAGAGGCCCTCTTTGACTGCACCCATCTTCGAGCCCATATTTTATAGGTCCACCCACTCCTTGTACCAGGACCAAACCACAGGGGTTCCTCCGGATACACCAGCCCCTGCACCAGCTCAGAGGACACCAACTAGGCAAGCACTGGCAAGCTGACTTCACCAACAGGCCCACTCATAAAAAGCTCCATTATCTCTTAACTCTTAACTCTTGTTGACACCTTTACAGGATGGATGGAGGTACTCCCCACCTCAGGAAAACAGCAGGTGTGATGAGATGGCTCAGATAGTCCTGGAACACCACATCCCTCGATTTAGTGTGCCATCCCCCCAAGCTCCTGGGACATCAATGCTGGTACCACCTCCCCAGGTGGGCACCTTCCAGCAACTGGGACCTGGCTTTCCAAGATGCTCCCAAAGAAGGGTGTATCTGCTCTCACTTCTTGCTCATTCACCCTTGCATCTTTTACACAACCAGGGCACTTCTCGGTCCCGTTCTTCCTGTCTTCACTCTTCCCACATCTACCCCTGTTCATAGGGCTGATGTTAATAATCTACTTTTCCCCTAGAAACCTGCCTTCTCCGCCTCCTCAAGGAACAGATTCCTGAGGTCTCCAGGATGGCAGTTAACAGAATGCTTCTCCACCCGTACCTCCCGATGAGTATGAGTCCACCAACTCCCAAATGCCCATCCCCACATCGTCCCTACCATCAGAAAGTGGACAGACTTGAACTGGCACCCATATATGCTCAAAAAAGGTTGGAAAGTTGGGGAACCTCCGCTCTGGTCTCACTCCCCTATTCCAAACCCCGCCCAGATGTTTAGCTGGGAACTCTACTTTGGCGCTCTCTCTCTCTCTCTCTCTCTCTCTCTCTCTCTCTCTCTCTCTCTCCTTCATGAAGCTCTTCTCCCAGAACTGCTCAAGACCTTGCCTACACAGTACTAGAGCTCCGTCCCTAGAGCTGTCATGTGATTTCTCTCCTGCCTTTCCTGAGAACCACCCGAGTTGCTGTGCTCAGATTAACCCTGGTCTTAATTCAGTGTGATCTGGCTTATTGCATTATTGGAGAAAGTGACTAACTGGGACATAAACTACTTATCAGAAGTCGGTCCACAAGCTGTCCCCTGACCATCGAATACGCTGTGGCAGAGGTGTGCCATATCCTGTCATGCACATGCAAACATGATAAATATAATTTTAAGAAATTAAAAATAAAGTATTACTTTATATATATTTAATTATGGGGGAAAAAAAGCCTTAAAGCCACATTTGCATTTCCTTTCATTGACTTCTCTTTTTCCTAAAGAGAGGCTCAGCATTTAATTACTTCTTAGGTAGAGTGTTAAAAATAAAAACTAAGGCTTCCCAAGTGCTGGGATTAAAGGTGTGTGCCACCACTGCCCAGCCAGAAGCCTCTGAGAGATGTCACCTTGTTGGAAGAACTATGTCACCGTTGGAAGGCTTTGGGGTTTCAGAAGCCCACACCAAGCCCAGTGTGTGTCTGTTCTCTATGCTCCTGCAGCACCATGTCTGCCTGCATGCCTCCATGCTCCCTACCATGAGGACAACGGACTGAATGAACCTCTGAACTGTAGCCATCTCCACCTAAACGCTTTCCTTTATGAGCTGCCGTGGTCATGGTGTCTCTTCATAGCAATGGAACAAGTGACTAAGACAAAATGTGATTAAATTCTTAAAGGGCAGTATCAGTAGCCCTGGTTGTCCTAGAACTTGCTATATAGACCAGGGTGGCCCTGGAACTCACAGAAATCCATCTGTCTCTGTCTCCTAAGAGCTGGGATTAAAGGTGTGTGTACTACCACACCCAGTCAAACACTCTATTTAAACGAATTTTTTAACTTCTCAAATTTATTCTATGTGTCTTTCATTAAACTAATGTTTAAGCTAAAAATTAATCAAGGATAGGAAGAGTGTATGGGCTGGAGATATGGGAGTTGATGGGAGTTCTCGCTCGGTTTGCATGGAGTTCTGGGCTTGCTCCCCATTGTCATATAAAGTGTGTGTGGCAGCACATGCTAGAAATCTCAGCACTTGGGAGACAACTGGGGGATGGGAAGGGGTGGGGATCTGAAGTCCAAAGTCATCCTTATCCACACAGTGAGTTCAAGGCCAGACTTTAAAAAAAAAAAAAAGTATAAAAACAAAAAAGAAGTACAATGGACTTATACACAAAATGGCTTTAACCACTTGAATTATCTCATTTAAAATGGTATGGGACAACTTACCATACTCCTTCTCGTTTACTTCAGAAATGGGTTCAGAAATAACACTGCAGAAAGAAATGGCACTTGCTGCAGAGGGGTTCCGAGAGTGGCCCATGTGGTGGGGCACGGTCTTCACACTCTTCAAGGCTTCCTCTGCTTGCTCCTGTTCTGTTGCTGCAACCATGTCTTTATACGCCTTCCTGGCTTCCTCGGTGAGCTCCACTAATCTATTAAATAGGCTCTAGAAGGACAGAGATTCCTCTGTGACTAGTCATTTTTTTTTTTTTTCAATTTTAAGTTTTTTACATTTTTAGCCCAAATGAAATTCAGGCAGTTTGTAAACAACAGAAGCTTACAAAATACACTTAACACACATGTGGCTTCTCATTTCTCATAGGGTTGCGACAACTGATTCTAACCTTAGCTTCTAAAAGCAAGGCATTTAAAAGGTTCATCTAACTCTCTGGTCTGGAACTACAGAGAATAAGAACGGAGTATCAACTCTTCTCCTACAAAAATGTGTGTATGACTGGAAGCTCAAGTAACTGCAGAGGTTCATGGTTTTTGTTTTACAAAGCAAACAATACCATCAACAAATTAACAGCACTGTAGCTTTTAAAGAAGACATTAAATCTCACTGTGGGCATCACTGAGGGATTCAAGGAAGCTAACATTTGGCGAAGAACCTGAAAACAGGTACAGTTCGGAGAGGGATGGAGAAGGCAGTTTTGAATAGCTAAGCATGTTAAACACAATTAAGGGAGACACAAGAAAAGCAAGGCTGGTTTGGGGGCAGTGACAGTCTCACTTAGGTTAGAACATGAGTGTGTATGAGCATGTGCAGGGAGGCAGTCAGGGGTATAGTAAAAGTAGCAGTTTCCAAAGCAATCTAAAGTCCTTAATTTTAATCCTGACAGAGGCAGAAGCAGACAGATTTCTGTGAATTCCAGGCCTGCCAGAACTATATAGTAATACCCTATCTTCCCCCACGAAAAACAAAAAACAAACAAACAAAAAACAACCTTTCTGCAACGCTCACTTGTGGGAAGAACTGAAAAGAGGCAAAGAGGCTAAAAGGAAGTTGGTTTGTATAGATGATTAGGGCTTGCCAATGAGGAAAACGTGATTCCTGGGCCAGAGGCAAGTTATAAAAATAGAAGACAGAGCCTGAAAGTAGACTCACCTAAACTCCCCCATCAGTAGAACAAAAAATGGTATGAATGAAATAAATACCTGAAGTGAAACTGAGTGGAAATGGAGATTCTCCTGTTCAAGAGGGTGGCAATATTTACACTGCACTAAAGCTGCACTTCAACAGCTGTCTCAGGACATTCTCAGGCACCAAAAGAGACGAAGCCACTGCTTACCAGATCAGCGTTCAAAAAGACTTCACACCCGCTAAATGTTTTTTGTTTTGTATTTTTGTTTTTTAGGGTTTGTTTGTTTGTTTGTTTTGAGACAGGGTTTCACTATGTAGCTCCAGCTGATCTGAAACTCACAGAGATCCAGCTGCCTCTGCCTCCTAAGCACTGGGAGTAAAGGCACGTGCCATTATGCCTGGTACTTGTGGCAGAGGTTTTATTTGAAGTCTTCCTTAGTAAGACAATAAACATATATTATCAGAGAATTTCAACATGGCTTGGTATATAGAGTAGGTTGAATTCTATATACAAAAATTACATTTTAAGACAACAGGGAAAGTACAACACGCTTTCTTTATTCTCCTCAAGGCACGGCCATCGCATGAGGGTCAAAGCATGGCAGAAGGTGCCACTCTGCTCTTAGAGGACCAGAAACAATGAACGATGTTGCTAACTGTGCTGACTGATAAAGCAGGAAATGGGGCAACTAGCTGCCAAACACACACTATTTGTTTATAGGGAAAAGACTGGTTAAAAGCAGCCCCTTCATGGACTGCTGCTAATGGCAAATCCTATTTGTAGTTTGTAACAGACCACACATTGAAAAGAAACCAGTAAAAGGAAACTAGGCATGAAGATTTATGTAAAATATCATAAGCAGGACAGACAGAAACAGAAACTAAAGGATATAAGGGAAGAGAAAGAAATACTGAAGAAAGAAGTTCTGGTCCACTCCTTTGAGTCACTAACTCACTGCTGGCATGTGTTAATAGGAAGGGGAAAGAGAGTGTGCCTCCTAAGTGTGCGTTTAGGTGTGTGTGGGGGGTATATGTGGAGTGGGTGTGGGGGGTAGGTGTGTATGTGGGGGGGTTGTGAGTGTGTGTGGGGGGTGAAAGGGTGGCATGTGTGTGGGGTGTGTGTGGAGTGTGGGGGATAGGTATCTATGTGTATGGGAGGGTGGGGTGTGTGTGTGGGCAGGGGTATATGTGTGTGGGAAGGTGGGGGGTGTGGATGTGTGTGTGGGAGTGGATGTGGATGTGGGGGTGTGGATATGTGTGGGATGTGTGTGGGGATGTGTGTGTGTGTGTGTGTGGAGTATGGCTATGTACGGGATGGATGTCTGTGGATGTGTGTGTGGGTGTGTGTAGGTGTGTGTGGGTAGGTGGGTGGGTGTGTGAGTGTGTATGTGGATGTGTGTGCGGTGTGGTTGGGTGTGTGGTGTGGGGGTGTGTGAGGGATGTGGGGGGTGTGGGTGTGGGTGTGGGGGGTGTGTATGTGGATGTACTGCAGGTCAATGGCAGATGCTGTTCCTCAGGGGCTAGTTATCTTATTAGACAGGATCTCTTTCTGGCCTGCAGAGACCCACTTGTCTCTAGCTCCCCATTGCTATAAATACAAGTGTTCACCACTTTGCTTGACTTGAGGTGGGTTCCAGGGATCAGACTGAAGGTCATTTACTGACTGAGCACTTCTCTGGTCCTGTTTCCTAATTTCTTACCTCAGCACCGAAGTAATTGAAGATTCCCACAACACTAACAGGAACCAACTTGTTCACACAGCGCCCCAGAGCTTTCCTCCCAAGGGCAAACACAAAAGGAATCTCCTGTTCCCGGGCCATGGCTATGACATTGTAGAGTGCCTCATCCAGGCCGCCTAAGGAAATCAACAGGAGGAGAGCATCCACTCAGTCACCTTCATGCTGGAGCTAACCCGGTTAAGTACACAACACTGCAGCACAAGAACGTCTTACTTGAACTGTAACATACTCTCTGTCCCTCTCTCCAATATTTGCGTTTCTCCAAAATTAAATCCCAAATTCCTTCAAACCCAGAACTTTAGTTTCTCTCTATATAGGAGTTAGTATAGTGTAACAAACATTTATTGTGTTGAAATAATTAAGAGAAGCTAATCTTTTTTTCCCACAGTTTCTAAACTCCAGTAACAACCAATCATTCGGGGAGACAAATGAACATGGTGGCGCAGATGTTTTCTCTGTGTAAGTGTCTACCCCTGCTACTGATACCCAGATCTGTCTGCTCCACCACCAAGGTCAAACTAGGCTGTCTACTATGAGATGTACTCATGTGCTAGCTTACCAGGAGCCTCTCTGTGTGTGCTGGATAGTTTTATGTCAACTTGACACAAGCTAGAATCATTTGGCAAGAGGGAATCCAATAAGGAAAATACCTCCACCGCACTGGCCTATAGGTAAGCCAATGATGCACTTTCTTAATTAGTGATTCATGTGGGAGGGCTCAGCACATTTCGGGTAAGGTTACCCCTGTGCTGGTGGCCCTGGGTTCTATAAGAAAGCAAGGATAAAGAAACCATGGGGAGCAAGCATAAGCAGTACTCCTTCAAGTCGTCTGCATCATTATCTGTCTCTAGCCTTGTACCTTGAGTTCCTATACTGACTTCCCTGAAAGATAAACAATACAATGGAAGGTGAAATAAACCCTTTCCTCCCCAAACTGATTTTGGTCATAGTGTTTTAATCATAGCAAACCACTGGTTTCTGGGAGACAAATCTCCACCCTCAGCAGGAGCTGAAATCTTTATCTTTTTCCTAATTGTTTTTATTTTATATTATTTTTTGCTTTGTTTTTTTGAGACAGGGTTTTTCTGTGTAGCTCTGGCTATCCTGGAACTCACTCTGTAGAGCAGGCTGACCTTGAATTCATAGAGATCCACCTGCCTTTATCTTTCCAGTACTACTAGACTTAAGAGGGTATGCTACCACTGGGCTGGCTTTTGCTTATTGTCTTTAAAGAGGGAAAAGTCATTAAAAGAAAGCCATGTAAAGTTTTCAGAGAACAATATACAGATGCAAAGTAATGTACCCTGGCTAGTTCTAGTCTGATCACAGCAAGGAGACACTTGGTAGGCCCAATGGAGAAATTTACCACAGTTCACATGTAAGGATTCCCTTCAGAATCCTGTCTTAATTACATCTACTTAATTTTAGGTCCTGGAAGATCTTGTTTTCTCATGCCAAACCTTTATTTCATGACTATATTGTAAAGAAAGCCGTGGCTCCCAGCTGTGAGGCTCATTTAAATTCCCTACAATGTTAACAAATAAATGGTAAACGTACACACCCTTTGACTGAATCTTCTCACAGTTGGGGGAAATGATGACACACTTGATCTTGTTCAGCTTCATGTGCTTGGTGACCTCCCTCAGCCCCATGACCAGCCGCCTCCTGGCCTTGGCTCTCACAGGGTCCTTCTGATAGATGCGCTCCTGGAAACTTACAAGCTCTTGCAGAAGGAGGGTCACACATTCATCAATTTCTTTAGAGAGAACCTGATTACAGTATCTGGAAAGGAAGCAAAGAACCAGGTAACTCCATCCTAATTTATTTTCCTGTAATTACAGACATAGAACAGGAAACTATCTTTGAAGGAAGCTACAATTTCTCTACATGTTGATCAGAAAAGCAGCAAATGCTGAGTATCTCTGCTTGTGAATTTCAACTAAGTAGCTTTTAGTCCAGGACAGGATGTCTCAGGGAAGTGCCACTGTACTGATAGTTATTACATTTCTAAAGATGTAAACCAAATGATGGCTTGCTAAGAGGTCACAGCTTATGTCACTGTGATAAATACTAGAGGTGCTTCTAGTAGGAAAGAAATGCAACTTCCCTGAATTTCCTAATAATGCATCATCTTAGGGAAGAGAGGAGTCCTGACACCACTGATGGCGGAAACCGGTGCAGCACCATGGAAATCACAACGCCACGGGGCTCAGCTACACCACTCCTGGGTATAAACCTGAGCAACTTCAAGTTAACAGAGCAGAGATCAATGTGTACCCATGTTTATCACCAGACTATCCACAATAGTATGGAGCCAGCCTAGATGCTTTCTGACAAGAATAGCTAAATGAAATTGACAGAAATTTATTAATATACACTGGAATTTTATTCAGCTGCCAAGAAAAATAAAATCAAGACATTTTCTAGAAAACAGATGGAACTGCAATCATTATGCTAAGTAACACAGACTTAGACAAACGCTGAATGCTTTCTCTCACCTAGAATTGAGATTCAAGTTTGTGTATGTGCAAATGCACACACCTGAGTCCAAGTCATGAAAGTAGACAAGGATCAAAGAGGGCAGAAGAGATCTTACAGGAGGGAGGAAAACAGAAGGTAATGAAATGTTTGCTTTTTAAGACAGGTCAACTATGTAGCCCTGCCATCCTAGTACTCACTCTGTAGACCAGGCTGGCCTCAAAATCACAGAGACCTACCTGCCTCCTGAGTGCTGGGATCAAAGGCGTGCGCCACCACCTCCACCCACCCCCACCCCCACCCCCACCCCCAGTGAAGGTAATGGAATGTGAGTGAGGTGAGAAGAGGACTATTTGGGAGAGAGTGAAGCATAGTAAGGTTGGAGAAGGCATGAATGAGCCCAAAGCATCATGACAACAATGTGTGAAAATGCCGTAAGGAAACCCACCCCTTTATGTGCTGAATCGATGAAAAAAATCAAGGCTATGAACAGTTCTTGTTACAGTTCTGATCCTTACAGTACATCCAATAAACCTGTTTCCTTTTGCTAAAAGGAAAAAATGTTATAAATACACTAAGAAATCTACAAACACTTCATCCTTTGAGCCTGGAGAATGCATTTCCAATCACAAAAATAAGTTTGCTTAGATGTTCCAAATACCTATAGGTAGACTGAGGCCTTGTGGTAAAAAAAAAAAACCACAGGCTTTTACATCAAGCACAGCAAAGAAGCAGAGGTCATTTGAACATGTCAGCTCCATGAGAAAAAACAGTAAGGCGTGGTCACTTTACACTTAGCTCCAGGGCGAAGAAGTCATCCAAGTTTACTTGTGGACTAGCCACTGTCCCAAATCTTATCTCACCTCTATCAGAGGCAGGCATTCTGCATTATAGAGTGGAAAACATGGGCCTGAAAATATGTCCTGGGGATTCCACATTTTGCATGAAAATGTTTAAGCAAGTATGACACAATTTCAGAAGACAGAAAAGGGTGGACTGAGGAAAGATTAACTGTCACAAGCACTCAAAGAATTCAATGTCAAACTACATCCTCTTCTTCTGTGTTTCAAGCTGTTCCTTTCATACATATGTAATTTATTTTCCTTGTGTTTGATTTGCTCCACATCCGCTGCCTGGCATATAATTAGCTGCTCAGAGCCTGAAGAGAGGCTTCTGCTCAAATGCTAGGGCTGAGGAGCGAGCACAAGAGAGTGGGGGCTGCCAGGCCACACTAACTCTCACTTCATAAGTCATTTTTAAAGGTAAAACCACTTCATCCACACAAACACTAAAATATGTCACAGCAGTTAGCTTAGTGATTCCCTAATTATCCTAATTCTTAAAGCAGGCGTTTGGGTTGACTGTGTTGCTGAGTGGTCAAACTCTAGTAATATAAAAATGAACAACAAACAAACAAGAACAGAATGACACTGCTTTATGTGAGATTCAGTCTTAGACAAAGAACCCTATATGCAAGCTTTTTAAAGTATCTATTAATTATATGCAAAAAGGCCAAAAGCATCTGGAGGGTTTCTCTGTGTAGCTTTGGACCCTGTCCCGGAACTCACTCTGTACACCAGGCTGGTCTCAAACTCATAGAAATCTGCCTGCCTCTTCCTCTCAAGTGCTGGTATTAAAGGTATGTGCCACCACCTCCCTGCCAATATATTTACTTCTATATACATATACATAACATACATATATACATGATATATAACATACATATATGATTTAAGAGGCCAGGATTTTGGGATAGAATCACCATATGTGATAAAGAAAGCATCACTGTAAAAGCCCATTCCATGGATACTGACAGCAGAACTGCTTTAAATAGAGCCAAACCCTGTTAAACAAGAGAAGAGCAACCCAACCTCCCCATTCCACCTTGCTCCGATTACAAGAATTCAGAACAACCAAGATCCTTCAACTGTTTTGCTTCAATATTGAAGAAAATAACTTACTCTCGAAATCTTTTGCTGTGGATTTTGGTTATAGTTGACGATGCCATTGGGCTGCCTATGCCAGAACTAGCAGGAGAGCCTTGCGACACAGGTGTCATACAGTATGGAGAGTTCTGACTTGCTGGAGAAAGTGAAGCATCACTGGGCATGCTCAGTCCAGTATCTGTGGAGACGCAAGGTGAAAGGGAAGACTATGGCAACTTCGAATGCTAAGAAGTTCCAGACAGACACAGACAATTTAGATGGCAGAATTCTCAGGTCATACCTTAATTCTCTGGAAGCTAGTAAGTTAGGTTTCTTCCTATCACAAATTATTTCTTACAAAATAAAAGAATAACGTATGTAATACTACCATACCCAAGAAAAATCAAGCATAGCCTAGAAGTTTTCACAGAGGAGATGGGGAAGCAAAATTATCTAAGACACATGTCCAGAGATCTGTACCTTTCTGCACAGCATTATTACACATCTCTGTTGGCCATCTGTTTCTTCAATCTTTCTAATTCCATATGGTAGTGGCATTGACAATCCTATGTCACTTCTCTCCTTATCCCAAACCTGCTTCTCTCCCCCCCACCCCAGCACTCTCCAGTCCCCACAACTGCTCTCCCCCCCACCCCCAGCACTCTCCAGTCCCCACAACTGCTCTCCCCCCCCAGCACTCTCCAGTCCCCACAACTGCTCTCCCCCCCACCCCAGCACTCTCCAGTCCCCACAACTGCTCTCCCCCCCACCCCAGCACTCTCCAGTCCCCACAACTGCTCTTCCCCCCCAGCACTCTCCAGTCCCCACAACTGCTCTTCCCCCCCAGCACTCTCCAGTCCCCACAACTGCTCTCCCCCCCCCACCCCAGCACTCTCCAGTCCCCACAACTGCTCTTCCCCCCCACCCCAGCACTCTCCAGTCCCCACAACTGCTCTCCCCCCACCCTAGCACTCTCCAGTCCCCACAACTGCTCTCCCCCCCACCCCCAGCACTCTCCAGTCCCCACAACTGCTCTCCCCCCACCCCCAGCACTCTCCAGTCCCCACAACTGCTCTTCCCCCCCACCCCAGCACTCTCCAGTCCCCACAACTGCTCTCCCCCCCACCCTAGCACTCTCCAGTCCCCACAACTGCTCTCCCCCCACCCCAGCACTCTCCAGTCCCCACAACTGCTCTCCCCCCCCCCCCCCCCCAGCACTCTCCAGTCCCCACAACTGCTCACCCTCCTGACTGTCTCTTCCTCACCTACTTATCTGGCCTTTGCTTCTGTGCAAAAGCAGCCACGCTTTTAGATGCAAACTATCAATCCTACCCCTTCTTCCTAAGTTATTGCTTCTCTTCAACAGGTAAACTCAGGAAGTGAATTTGTATGTTCAGTTTCATAATCAACAAAGTTACACATTAATACTATCTGTTCATTGGATTATCAGCCCGACAGTCAGCCTGTGATCATTCTCTTTTCCAGCCCCTTACCTCCACTACTTATTGAACACATTTAGTATCTATTAAATCAAAATCAAGAGGTGAATGAATTAATGAGCACACATAAATCTAAGGGGAGTCATACTGGTAATAAAGGGGGACCCCCAATGAAGCATATCCTAGACAAATAATGATTGGGACTAAATTAACTTTAGTAAAAGCACTGAAAAAACTTCTGCTTGATTTCTGTGTACCCTGCTACAAAATGCTGTGTGACTATTTATTGCATCAGATAGATCCTGTCTGCTGGAATTACGTGTGCTGGATATGAATAGAATCTTCACACTACTTTGTAATTCTCTATTCCTTGTGCCTTATGTATTAATTCCCAACAAAGCAAGAAAAGAAATGAATAAAAGTGATTTGAAAACATTCCTATAAAGAAAACAACTGGCAAATATTGTTTCCTACATAAAAGATGATGAAAGGAAACCCTTATGAGAATCCTGGGAGTCCCAGGCACTCGAGATCCTAATGTTTGAGACGTTACTACAAATGGTAGATATGGCCTCCAAAGTGTCAGAGACCTGCTATGTAATACCTGTCCATCCTTTCAGCCTTCAAAAGAAACCATATACATCAATGTACATAAAATACAGTGTGCAATTTCCACTTGAGGCACAGCCAATGAGGCTCTCTGGCAACACTGCAGACAGCTATGACAGAGAGATCCTCACCTTCCTGGGAGACAGTCTCCTGAGGCAAGTCATTGGTGAGGTCCAAATGCGTCTCTGTTGGCTCCTCTGCGCCTAAAACACTGTGTTCCACAGTCAGACGTCCCTTCTTCTCCTCTCTTTCTTTCAAAATAACCTGAAAGTCATTGCATTATTCTTTAATTATCAATCAATCTTCAACTAGGTGCAAACTTTTACAATGTTATACAATGTTATATAAAACACAGGCACAGCCATGAGTTTCAGTTGGCTGTATCACCCAGCTACAAAAAAAAGCTGACCTATAAAAATGTGGCTGTTATTTTAGAAACTGTAAGTGAAAGGGAATGCTGTACAGAGAATACGGGGAGAGTGTGCTAGGAGTGCACAGCCAGACAACTTTACCTGCCTCCATCTTCAAAGGCAAGCAGGATGCTGAGAGCACACAAACATGCCGCATCTTCCTCAATCTTTAAATCCTACGTGACCAAGTCGGACTTCCCAAACTGACTAACTTTAAGTTTAGAAACCCAACAGGTTTTCAACTATTCAGGCATGAATTGCCTCACTCTGACCCTCTAATACTAAACCAAAACAGATATTATCATCAATTTATAGGTAAGGAAGATGGAGGCAGAAAGGTTGCTCTACTACATACAGAGCAAACACGGAAGTTACTAAGGTCCAGGGCTACCTAGCTAGGAGGCAGAGTGCCTATCTCAGATGTATGCGGTCTTGGGTCAGATCTCCAGCATTGAAAAGAGGAGAGGAGGTGAAGAAAATGGTGGGAGCAGCAGAGTATGAGTATAAATAAATACACTATAACATCTGCTTCCTAAAACACAATTAACTTTGCAAAGAAATGAAAGTAAACCCTTAATTACCCTATCAAAGAAACATCTCCAGATGGGGGCTTACCTTTTTGAGTGCTGTGGGTCGTTTTAGCTTTGCAATTTCCTTCTCTTTTCCTTTCTTTGCTTTAGAGGAAATAATGTCCAGAGAATTACAGGATGTTAAACAGGGCTGACTTTTGGTTAAAGGTTTTCTGTTAACAGAGTCTTTAGTGTGAAAAGCAGCTGCGGCGGCAGCGACTGCAAACAAACAAGAACATTAGTTTTACTACTGCAGCCAAAGTCACAATTGGACAATTTCCAGTATTAAATCTTTAAAATACACAGCATTCTCTTGCCATGGAAAAGGACAAAAAAGACATCATAGTAACAGGTTCAGCAGAGTCCCTCACACATAGCTCTTTCCAAGTCATTGACCTCCCTAAGCTGAGGAAGGTAAGCCAATGAATGCAGTTAGCAGCTCAACTCCCCTGCAGCAACTGAGCATGCACACTTCGCACCAGTCCTCCGGTCAGACTGGCCTGCCTCTGGTGTTCTCCCCATTCCTACAGAGCCCACTACTCACCCTTACACACTTTGCAGCCCTTGGCTCCTCTTCAGCTGGGTCTCAGTGCTACCAGCGCCTGCTACACCTTACTCATACCCCCACTCTTTACCCCCGACCCCTCTAGCATCTCTAAGCCCCAATCTCAACCCCTCCACTCCAGCACAATATTCCTGTCACTTTCTTGAGAAGACACTGCCCAAGTTACAAAAAACACCAAAAGAAGGTGACAGATACCCTTGCAACTAACTGTCCAAGGCCCACTAACCAACTCGGCTCTTAATGTCACCTCAGTTCCTCTGGAACCTTGTGCTGTTCCTTTTCACAAGAATTTCCTCCACCCCAATCTCTTTTCTCTGAGTCACCCCCTTCTATCTGAAAGAAACAGGGGATTGGGAAGCAAACAGACAAAGCCTGGTCCTTTCACTGGGCCTTCAGCCCAAGGTGCTCTTACTGCCCCATCCCTACCAGTTAAATGTCTCAGCATCGTTCCGACATCATTCCTTTTCAAACCTGGCCTCAGCCCTACCCACTCTATTATAAGTGTCACTGTCAAGACCCAACAGGGGCCAGTTGGTGGTGGTGCACACCTTTAATCCCAGCACTTGGGAGACAGAGGCAGGCAGATCTGAGTTCAAAGCCAATCTGGTCTATAAAGTGAGTTCTAAGACAGCCAGGCTACACAGAGAAACCCTGTATCAACATCCCCAATCCCCCAAAAAGGCCCAACAGAACCACCTTGCAATTGCCAAAAACAATTTTCCAATCTTCAAAACTTCTTCCTGGATATTCATTCATTCATGTTTATATGGGCTTTCCCCTCATTTTAAGTTCTAATCTGAATTACATGACGAATGGAGTCACCAGGGCCTTGACTGCTAGCATTTCAAGTCCAAGGCCACTGTCAACTCTCCTTATGTCACTGTGGTATCCTCACGGCCCTCTTTACTAATCCATAGAGCACAGGTAGGATGTTGTGTGGGTGAGGGAGACCTGCACAGGTGTGCACATCCATGTGAAGGCCAGATGTTGGTGCTACGTATCTTCACACTCTAAGCCCTAGTTTTTAGGACATGGTTTCTCACCAAACCTGTAGCTCACCAATTCAGATACACTAGCTGGAAAACGAATTCCAGGGATCTGCTGGCTTCTGCCTCTCTAGCACTGGGTCACAGGTGCATGCTGCCATCCATGCCTGGCTTTATATGGTACTAGAGATCCAAACTCAGGTCCTCATGCTCACATGGCAAGCACTTTACTGATGAAGCCATCTCTGCAACACACTGGAGTTGTCTTTGACCTATTTCTACAGCCTGCTAGTCCATGCTCCATCAATTCCTTATAAATTTTCACTCCCATACTCTCATTCCTTTCTTGAGTTTCCCAACAGCTTTCTTTGTATTCAATACTTTCAAACATAGACTGGTGATAGAAAGTCTCACTTCTACCTGCTAGGAATCCTCAACTCAAACGCCGTCTTCCAGGAAGTCACTTGTTAACCTGCATTTCTCCTCATCCACAGCCATCAACCCCTCCCTTCTGAAGATTCACAGAACTCGCTGTCTCTCCCCTAAGGTATTTCTGTTGGTCAGTTTTTATGTGTCTCCTCTCCCACTAGACTATAAATATTTTTAAAAAGATTTACTTTATGTACATGAATGCTTGCCTGGATGGATGGATGGATGGATGTGTATCATGTGGATGCTTGCTGTCTATGCCACAGAGCATTAGATCCCCTGGATCTGCACTTATGAATGATTATGAGCTGCCACTTGAGTGCTGGGCACTAAACCCAGGTCCTCTGCAAGAACAAGTCCTGACTGCTGAGCCACCTCAAAGCTGATCCATGAGTTTCTTGAGTGGGCTTATCTTCACCATCTCCATAACCCCAACAGCTCCAAACCGCATGTTCTAGGCACAGACATTCAGAGTTGTTTAATATAACATTGGTTTAAAGATTTATTTTATGTGCTTATTCTATCTTGCATGTTCAGCTTTAGGCCAGAAGAGGGCATTAAATCTCACTATTGATATTTTTGAGCCACCATGTGGTGGTTGCTGGGAATTGAAAGCAGGACCTCTGGAAGAGCAAGCAGCCAATTCTCCTAACTGATCAGCCATCTCTCCAGCCCTTAACATAACATTTATTGAATCAACCAAGTTGTAGAGTTGGAGATATAGGTCAGTGGCAACGTACTTGTCTTGGTTCAAGCACCAGCATTGGCAAAACTAACAAACAAAAAAGTTATATGGAAAAAAATATAGTAATTAGAGATTCAGTTCAATGGCCCTGGGTTTAGTTCTCAGCAACTAAAGAAAAGTAAATAGTTAAAATGACAAATGGCTGGGTATGGTAGCTCACACCAGTAGTTTCAGCATTTGGGAAGCTAACGCAGAGGGATTATTACTTCAGCCCTATTTCAAAAAACAAAAAACAGCTGTGGTGACATATTCTTTATGATTTATTAAAGTCAAGCTGAAGATCAGAAAAACAAAGAAGCCAAGCCAGTCGATCTTACCTCACGGCTGGAGAGTGAGTGCCTTCCTATCCTCAGTGTAGCTGGAGAATGAGTGCCTTCCTATCCTCAGTGTAGCTGGAGAGTGAGTGCCTTCCTATCCTCAGTGTAGCTGGAGAGTGAGTGCCTTCCTATCCTCAGTGTAGCTGGAGAGTGAGTGCCTTCCTATCCTCAGTGTAGCTGGAGAGTGAGTGCCTTCCTATCCTCAGTGTAGCTGGAGAGTGAGTGCCTTCCTATCCTCAGTGTAGCTGGAGAGTGAGTGCCTTCCTATCCTCAGTGTAGCTGGAGAGTGAGTGCCTTCCTATCCTCAGTGTAGCTGGAGAGTGAGTGCCTTCCTATCCTCAGTGTAGCTGGAGAGTGAGTGCCTTCCTATCCTCAGTGTAGCTGGAGAGTGAGTGCCTTCCTATCCTCAGTGTAGCTGGAGAGTGAGTGCCTTCCTATCCTCAGTGTAGCTGGAGAGTGAGTGCCTTCCTATCCTCAGTGTAGCTGGAGAATGAGTGCCTTCCTATCCTCAGTGTAGCTGGAGAGTGAGTGCCTTCCTATCCCTGGGTTGTCCCCCCCCCCCCTTTGGTTTTGTTTTTGAATGATTAGTGTTAGGAGCAGCAATAACAACAAGTGCAGCTGTGAGCTAAAAGGCCACTGCCTCCACTGTATCCGGGGAGATCACTGCCACTCTTCCCATTTCAGTAGCAGGTAATTCTAGTGTCACCTCTACCAACAGTTACCCAAAGCAGAAGTTTCCACTGAGGGAGTGAAGAGCTACAGACTCCGTCACTTTGCACACAGATACAGCTACACATTCCCATCTTTTTTATCTATTCAGCAACAGTCCTGGGACTGGGACAAGCTGGGAACAGAACAGACAGAAAATCCTGCTTCTCAGCATTAGTTCTTTTAACTGGTACCCTTTCCTCCTTTGTGCTATCCCTATCCCTCTAAAAAGGAAGGAGGGAGATCAAACACAGGGCTCTGAAACCGACAAGGTTGGTTAAAATAGGAACAGTTTCAGTGGGAAGCCAGAGCAGTGCTTCATTCGCACATATGGAACTATCAAAATGTGTCATTCAATTGGATACTTTCCTAGTTAACAGAGCCAAATTACCCTGAGACCTTTTATTTTAGCCTTTGAAGAAATGACAAACAAAACAAAAAATGAGGATGGCCCAGCAGGTAAGTGTGTACTACAAAGCTGACGGCCTGAGAACCCCGGATAGAGAAGGCAGGCTGGCCCCTGAAGGCTGGCACCCCCAAGGCTGCAGCACCCCAAGGCCGCAGCACGCTGCCCACACTGGGGTCACCTGGGTGTGCGAGTGGCCTGGTGTTGGTGGCCTGGCGCGCTCTCATTGCTTGCTGCTGCTTCTCCAGAGCAGCTAGCATGTCTCCCAAGTCCAGCTGCACCGGGCTCTTACTCTTTTTCCCAGCTGCTTTCGATAAAGCTTCCTAAAAGGCAGACAAGAAAGGATTCACTTCTTTACTGACTAGGAAAGTATGACAAGTTATAATTAGTCTTGGCATTCCTGTCCACCCCAGCAAGCCCAGCAGAAAACGATTATATACCTGTAATTTTTTTTGCTCCATGCTTATTTCTGAGTATTCTTGTGCTGTGGCAAGGGCTGCAGCCAACGCTTTCTTCTTCTGACTCTTGGCTCGCTTAGGAACTGAAGTGGTAATGGGAATCGGGGTCTGAACTATATTGATGGGTGAGTTTTCAGGTAAGTCATCCAACTATGAAACAGGAGAAACACTTTGTTAGTCACTTCACAGATGTCAAACTGTAAGGAAAGACAAGGCAGACTGAGGCAGGTTCTTCAGGACTGACAAGGAGACCCCCAAGGGTAGGGTCATAAAGAACAGGGTGAGAAAGGACCATTTTAGAATGGGAGACAAAAGGATAAAATGCTGAATATAACAGGCGGTGCTTGTCTGGGGGAAATTCCGACATAGAGAACACATTGTAGGACAGCACTTAATGTTTCCTCATCTAGTAATAGAAGAGCAGATACAGCAGATTTCCTAGAAACTACTTGTGTTTAGGAAGATAAACATTAAGGCTCTCGAGGTACAGGAATCCGCTGTGGGTTCCCTGTGACGTACATGGAAAGAAGCAACCCCTGCAAGCTGTCCCCTGACCTCCTTGAGCACAATGGTAACCACCCACCCATATGCACACATAAAATAAACACAACTGCAGTAACAACCTTAAAGTGCTCAAAGTAAGCACTAAACATGATATCCCCCAACACTATGCTGCCCTATATCCTTATACAACCTCAAGACTGCTTTCCACATAATGCAGAGTTCAAAAGGTGTTCTATTTTCTTACAATTTTGAAAGGGGTTACTTACTACTTTTGAAGGAAGTTTCTGTTGAATATTCTCATCTTTAGAATTTCCGTTCTCACTTAGTTCTTGAAAACCATCTTCATCCTGAAACAGTTTCCCCGATGTCAGTGAAAATGTTCAGGATTAACCCTACAAAGGGGTGTGTGTCCAACCTGCATGTCTGTGTGGGGTGTGTGCTCAGTGTATGTGTGTATGGGTGTGTGTGTGCTTCCGTATATGTTTATGTGTGTGCTCATGTATGTGAACAAGTGGTTGCTGGGCATCAAACCCAGAGCCTTACTTATGATAAGTAACTACTCTACCAATGAGCAACCTTCCCAACATAGAAACTTTCTATAGTGTTTCACAGTTCTGAAAGGTAGGGATTCTTTAAAAAGGGAATTTGATTTCTCCCATGCTAAACCTACTTTTTATTCAAGCATGAAGTCATATCCACACACATCCATCCTTCAGTTTTCTGTAACCACTGTTTCATTTTTATACTAATTCTATCCTAAGATAGGTAGGTAAACGAAAAGAATTTCAACTGGATTTTATCATATTAAGATAATTTGGAGAAGATCTTAAGTACTTTAGTATTCATTTCTAAGATTAATTCTGTTCCCTATTACAAACAATTTGAAGACTAATGTTTAAAATGCTTTTACTCAAATTAATTTCTTTTTTTTTTTTTTTGTTGTTTGTTTTTTGTTTTGTTTTTTGAAAATGGAGTTTCTCTGTGTAGTTTTGGAGGGTGTCCCGGCACTCACTCTATAGACCAGACTGACCTCAAATTCAGAGATCACCTGCCTCTGCCTCCCAAATGCTGAGATTAAAGGTGTGCGCCACCACAACCTGGCCTCAAATTAATTTCTGAGTCAATATCCTTCTGATTGTATGGAAACGATCATACAAGTATGCCTATAATAAAATTGCTATATTTATATTTAAACTATTCTTCTGAGATTAGAATTAACGTTTGTTAAAGGGAAGGAATAGAAGTAACATTTTATCAGTCACAAAAAAGTCCAATTTGTATAAAATCCACAAGTAAGAAAAGTAATAAATCCGGGATTCATGAAAATTCTGCACACAGCCCTCATTCCTGATAACAGAGGAGCGACCACATTCAAAAGGTCTTGAGAGTTAAGGGTGGCACACTTGGAAAAGTGTTGACTCTGGAAGCATGAGGATCTCATTCCATCCCCAAAACTCAGGGAAAAACTGCTGCACAGTGCTGAGACATGAAGACAGGCAGATACATGAGGCTCACAGGCCAGCCTGTCTTGCTTTATTACTGAGCTCCAGGCTAACTAATGAGGGACCTTTTGTCAAAAAAAAATCAGAGGATGATGTGCTCTGACTTCCACATGCCCATAAACAGAAAAAAAAAAAAAAAAAAAAAAACAATCTAACAAGGTCCAACACATCCTCCCTACAGGTAAACAGGTATACACCAATACACCCAGCTGGCACTTTAAGTTTAAATCATCCGTATAAATAAGAAACAACAGGGGCTGGGATAGGTCAGTAGCAGAGTGCCTCCTCAGCAAACACAAAGCCCTGGGTTTTGGTTCAGAAAAGCTCCAACACATTTAACTGTGAGCCAGTTGTACACACCTTCATCCCAGCACTCAGGAGGAAGAGGTAGGTGGGTCTCTGTGAGTTCAAGGCCAGCCTGGTCTACATAGAGTTTCAGAACAGCCAGGGCTACACAGAGAAACCCTGTCACTTAAAAGAAAAAGGGGGAGGTGGAGGTGCAGCTGTCTTCCTAGGAACTGTTACCAAAGTCCAATTCCAATATTAACAGAAAACCATTCATTCTAATATTATCTAACAAGATTTAAATTCCCTAATTTTTGTTTGTTTTCTGAGTCATGGTCTCACACTATAGCCCATGCTAATAGGCTAAAGCAATCCTCCCATCTCAGCTCCAAGAGTTACAGGTTTAAGTCACCATACCTGGCTCATGATTTCCAAATTTTAACTGATGTTAATATAAAAACAAATGGCACATTTTTTTTTTTAGAACCTCTTTATTTACAATGGGAGTACCTGTCCAGACAGGGGCTGTAAAACTGTTCCTGGCAAAGTTAGTTAGATACACTTTCAACTCCTTCGGAATATTATTCAACTTAGTTAACATACTAATTCTTAGCAAGTTTCAGGACAGGCAGGGCTACACAGAGAAAACCTGTCTCAAAAAAAAAAAACAAACAGAAAAACAACACATACTAATCCTCTAACTTTAAAGAATTTCAGTTTAATATGCATCTATTAACCTATTTTATAAAAATCTGTACTCTAACCAAAGTGAACTGCACTGATCAATTACCAGGAATTGTTAAAAACAACAACAAACAACAAATTATTCTTTAAGACCCACCCCAAGTAGCTTGTTTATTTTCTAGTCCAACCATAGCCAATCGTGTATGAGGTCATGTCTGTACCCTCACACCACATGGCACTTCTCCGGTATGCCACTCAGAACCTTCAGTTACAGTCCCAGGCTGTAGCAAAAGCTAGCTAGCTGAATAAACACTAGAAAAAGTGAATTAGGATGCATGTACTAGGAGAGCCAATAAAACAGCCATTTTTCCTTTTCTCCAAGACTCTACCGAATAGGAGCAGGAATTATCTCAATGAATTTTTCAAATCTGAAAAACCTTTCAGACATACCCAAAGGCAACAAAATCAGCTTCTCATCCACACAAAATGAACACACGACAAAATTTCAAAACAGATATTAATAAAGGAATGTTAGTTTACATAAACCAAAGCAAATAAAAATGAGCCAGTATGTCAAGTCATTTATAATCTAACAGAGTAACATGTTAAGACACAAAAATAAAATATTTATAATTATTTATTTTTCTTATTTTATATATTGATCCCAGTTCCCCCTCTCTCCTTCCCTCCCTCATCACTCACTCTCCCCTTCCCTCCCATGCTCCCAAACACCCTCCCATCACATACCTCCCCATTTCTTAATAAAGACTATTTTTCAGAATAGTGTACAAATAGAATTTGAAAAAATTACCTCAAAATATAAAGACTCAGAATTTAGGTCACTCCTGTGAGACTGAGTAGAGTTTAAGTGTTTAGTGTCTTGTCTCTTTTGCAAATTCTGTCTTCTTTCTGAGGAAGTACTGTGTCCTCGGCATCTGAATCCAGCCTAAGTAACCCAGGAAGAAACAAAATATAATTTTCAAGTAACTTTGTCACTGAAGTACAGCAAACTTGTAAAAAAGCAAAGGAAGTATGTAACTCAAGGAACTTCTTAAAAGGGCATAGTTTCTCTCAACAGCTGAAGCTTCCATTGAGACCAACAGTAAGGTGTATGTGCTGCTTTTCTCCCCCAAGAAGCTGAACATTTTTATCAGCATTACCCATAAGCGCCAACACCTGACAACAAACCTAAGGCTCTCCAGTGCGTGAATGGTCCTACTAACAGGTTACGTCCACCACACAGTAGAGCACTCATTAGCTGCCCTCTAAGTGTGAGCTGCTAGTTAATCTAACCCCTGAAAAACTCTCCAGGGAACTTGCTGAGTGGAAAGAGCCACCCTGGGAGGATTATAGAACAAGGAGAGGTAGAAGGTCCAAAAACTCAAGGTTATCCTTGGCTAGCCTAGGCTAAAAAGCATCCCTTGAGATGATTTTTCTTAGCGAAACGGGCTGAAGAGGCAGGCAAGGGGCAGAGGCCTGTAACCCCAGCACTAGAAAGGGAGAGGCAGGACTATGCAGTCGGAGACAACCAGGGCTGCAGTATGAAGAATGGCAGAATAAACAATCCCCCCACACACACACACCCCACCAAAAAAAAAAAAAAAATCCAGAGAAAAAAGAAAGATGAAAGGGAACTGGAACTTTATCTGATCACATAAAGTATTATTATCCTGTTACAAGAGCTGTTTCTATGTCCCCAAACTCATGTGGTGAGCCCTGAGCCCAGGGAGACAGGGACCGGAGTGATTAGGTCACAAGACCAGGGCATCCTGGATGGATTTTATGAAGCCTATAAAAGGGACCCAGAGAACTCTCAGCCCCTCTCTCCTAAGGGCAACAACCAAGAAGCAGGGTGAACAATCCTTCACCAGACAGCTGACCTTCCTGCACCTTGACCTTGGCTTCTACACCTTTCTGCTCATAAGCATCAAGTCTATGGTGCTTTTTCATAGTAACAAACAGACTTACTAATAAGTCTGCAAAATATTTCACTGTCAGAGGGCAAAGAGAAAGCATGGTGAGTGTTCTAAGAACCTCCAGATACTTTTTGTAAGAACTTATGTTAGCTGACATTAAATGCCACCTCAGAAGAAATTAAAAAGATATGAGAAGTTCCTCTCTATCGACACCTATCTCAAAATCCTAACAGTAAACAACGTGAGGCACTCAGGAGACTGAGGACATAAGCTTCTGAAATCAACACCCAGATCTACACCTGGCCATTTCCATGCCTACTGCTGTGAACCAGTTAGTATATATGTATGGATGGTGTCTAAAACACTCCTCAGTTTTTCTTTAAAAAACAAATGCAACTTGATACTTATAGGTGGAGACAAAAAGTACCAGGACTGCTAAGCATGGTTGACTAACACCTTCGATTCCAACACTCAGGAAGCAGAGGCAGGCAGATTTCTGTGAGTTCAAGACCAGCCTGGTCTACACAGTGAGTTTCAGGCCAGCCAAGACCAACACAGAGAGACCGATCCTGTGATGTAAAACAAATACAGATAAAAGGAAGAAAGTGCCAACAACTTAAAACTTTCAAACTACCCGTTTCCACAAGATCCATGAGAAGCAAATATTCCAATAACATCTGAACAAATCAATAACCTCATGATAACTCAACACTTTCTGTCAGTTCTTCTAAGTTTTGTTGCTGGAAAGTGAGCACATGAACCAGACATGGTGGCAGCATAGGCTGTAGTCATAACACTCAGGAAGCAGAGGCAGGAGGATCACCTCAAGTTCAAATAGCTTAGACTACAAAGATAGCTCCTGGCTAGACAGAGCTCTCAAAAGAGAGAAGCAAACACAATGGATAAAACAGAAGCAGAGGGGTAGAAGGAGACAGGAGAAGGACGAGATCAAGATTCAAACTGGCTGTAATCTCAGTTCTTGGGAGGCTGCGGGAGGAGAATTCAAGTTCAAGGCTTGCCTAGACCACATATTGAGACCCAGTCTCAAAATAAATCACAGTAAACAGAAATGGATCCAGAGTCAAAAAGTAAGCAGAGTCATGACCAGACAAACTCACAGAAAAACAAACACAAGTAACTCAAAACATGGAGATGCCTTTTGAAAATCTAATTAACATGTTATTTGTTATGGATATCATCTCCCTCAAGTGCTCCTGGTTCTAGAACTGGTTCCTGGAAGCTTTGGTGACACTAGGAAGTGTGTAACTTCCAAGAAGTGGGCCCAGGGCTATGGAAAGGGCTCAGGTGTTAAGTACTTGTCTGTTGTGCATCAGGACCCAAGTCTGATTGCCAGAATCCGTTTTAAAAAGTCAGGTGTGGTGGCATGCACTTCTAATCTCACTGCTGGGAAGGCAGAACCAGGAGAGTATCTGAGGCATGCTGGCTAGCTAGGCTTGCCTTGTTGGTAAGATCTAAGCAGACTCTGATCCTTAGGCCTTTCTCTGTCTCTGGCTTTCTATATGCGGTTTCATTCCATTCTCCACACAAAAACACTCCCATCACATGCCAGGAGGACTTCACCAGGGCTTATAGAATGTTGTTTAGATGTCTGCCCTCCAAAACTATAAATTAAATAAAGCATTTATCCTTATAAAATTGACTTGTCCCAGGTGTCTTGTCATAGTGACAAAAAGCTAACAAAAGCATAATAGAAATCAAAAATCCTGAAGCCCTTTTTTCATTCCTCCCTTTCCTTTGATTTTCCTTTCTTCTTGTTTGTATTTTTAAATGTTTAGTTTCAGTGTGTGGCATATACATATCTGTTTGTGTAGGTGCACATGTATCTATGTACAGAGGTCAGAGAGATAAGTTGGGTGTCCTGCTTTGTCATGCTCAGCCTTACTCCCCTGAGACAAGATCTCTCCGTGAACCCACAGCTAGACTTGCAGCCAGCAAGCTACAGCAATCCTCTTGTCTCTGCCCCCACAGTGTCAGGGTTACAGGCATGCACATCCGTGCTCGACATTTTCCAGAGGTGCTGGGGACCTACTCTTAGGTCTACATGCCCGCACAGCAAGTACTCTTACCCACACAGCCATCTCTCTAGTCCTATAATCAGTGAATAAAAGTATTTGCTGCACTAGTCAGGAGGCAGGATGATCTCTGTTAGTTCGAGACCAGCCTGGTCTCCAGAACAAGTTTCAGGACAGCCATGGCTATTACACAGAGAAACCCTGTCTTCAAAAACCAAAAAAAAAAAAAAGTGGTTTGCTGCTTTGAAAATCTAGATCACTATGCATTAAAGTTAAGTCTCTGATAAAAATATCTCAAAACACTGTACTATAAAAAAAAAGTAGCACGCAAACTGGTGAGACAATTCAGTATCTAAGGTGCACTGTGAAGCCTGGCTGACCTGTGCTGGACCCTGGGAACCCACAAGAGGTGGAAGGAGAGCACTGACTCTAAAGTTACACACACATATACACACTCACACACACACTGACTCTAAAGTTCTCTTATACACACTCAGTGACTATAGTTACTCTCTCACACACACACACTCACACACTCACACTCACACACAGACTCTAAAGTTACTCTCTCACACACACACTCAGTGACTATAGTTATTCTCTCACACACACACTCACACATCCACACTCACTCTAAAGTTACTCTCTCACACACATACAAACGCACACACACACACTGACTCTAAAGTTACTCACACACACAATAAAAAAGCTAGTGTAAAATATACGTCAATATTTTCTGTAGAATTTACCTTCTAAAAGTCCCCAAAAGTCTAGAAAACAATTAGAAGTTGTAAAAAAAACATAATGTTTTGACTTAAAAAGGGAACTGGTGTTTGGGGAAAAAAAAATCAAGTACATACTTAAGGAAAATACTAGGACAACAGACATCAGTAGTAGACAGGACAACACACTGGAAATCTGGCTCTAATACTTTGGGAATGAAGAAAGATACTAAATAAACAAATCTGCTTAGGTGTTGTGGCACATGCCAACACTTGGGAGACTAAGGCAGGATGGTCAGAAGTTCAGAGTAACCTGGGCTGCACAGCAAGTTCTAGGCTAGCCTCAACCCTAGGGAAAGAACCCTGTCAAAATAAACAAATAAAATACACTTACTGCTTAGCTTTTTTTTCCCCCCACCAGTAAATATTTTTCATCTCAGGGTTATTTTCTTTAATGGACACAGATAAAAAACAAGCAAACAACAACAAAAACCAGGCCAGGACCCAGAGCAGGAACTTGGCAAAGCAGGTGGTTTCAATTTCAACAGAAAAACTCAGTAAACATCTTGCAGGTGTTGCCTAATCTTTATCATCAAATAAAGCTAAAGACAGATTGCCTCACAAGCCTGGGAAGAAAAGTGGCCTGACTTTGCGGTATCACAAGGAAGGGGCATTGCTCCTGTTTTCCTGACAGCAAGTAAAGCGCTCTAAGTCAAGGAGTTATCTAAAGTGTTCATCTCAGGGAGGCCAAGAGCAGGCAGCAGCCGGGAATCACAATGCATACTTGTCCTTACTTTGGTCCTTTCATATTTATATGACAGCTTTAATTCCTTAACTAGACATAAGAAACCCAGGAAGTCTATCTAAAATGAAAAGGAGAAATAATGACCAATAAACAATTGTCTGATTTGATAGCCAACCAACACATGAAGATACAGTTGATGTTAGGTGCAGAGCTGTGCACAGCCCACTCCACAGAACTGTGAGGAAACTGCTCCATCTAGTAACACTGTGGCATCAGGCAGCCATCAATCAAAATACCCATGGCTGATGAGAGGGTTCATCAGGCAAAGATGTTTGCTAGCAAGTCTGATGACCTGAGACTGATCCTTATTCTTGCAAGCTGTCCGAATCTCACACCACAAAATAAATAAATGCATGTTTAGAAACCTACATAACCCTACAGGCCTTAAGATCAAACAACCATTTTTAAGAGAAGGTTCCAACTTTTGACATGGAAGGAAACACACAGCAGGTAGAGGGTATCCTGCTCTAAAATTATGACATACTCAACCAGACACCAAGTGGAAAGGTGGTGCCATTTCTAATCATATTCTCACCATCTTCACTCAACAAATTGCCATTTCACTATTTATGCCTTATTTGCTAAGGCATTTAAAAAGTTTTAGATGTGACACCGGGAGGTGGTGGTACATGTCTTTTATCCCAGCACTTGAGAGGCAGAGACACATGGATAGCTATGAGTTAGAGGCCAGCCTGGTCTCCAGAACGAGTTCCAAGATAGGCTCCAAAGCTCACAGAGAAACCCTGTCTTAAAAAACAAAAAGTTTTAGTCATGAGAGCTCCCTGTATATATGTGTTATGTACAGGCATGCATGTTTTTTGTGTCCTTCCTCAGATGACAGCCTCAGGTGCCCCTCCACAGAAGACAACCATCTTTCTTTCTTTTTCTTTTTTTTTTTTTTTTTAGTGCAAAATCTCTCACTGTCCTGGGGCACCCCAAGGCATGATTATTGCATAATCATTTATGGGTACCTTCCTGTCTCTCTTGACCTTGCTGTTTCAAGATTCAGTCTCTCACTGAACCTGAAGCTCGAGTCAGGACCTCATGCTTTATCAGCATCCCACAGCAATTCACAATTAGGCAACTTTATGTACCTTTCAAACTTAATGTGCTTGCTAATTGCTATACCATTATTCTGATAAATTTAACACTGTTCACCTCACACCTAATCAGATTTCCAACCTCATTCAAAGTACCTGTGAATTATTTCTTTGTTCAGTTTGCCTTCCCCCTCTAGAAAACACAGGGTGTTTTTCCATCCAAGGTCTTTTCTGTGTTGCCTGGCAGGTAACTTTGGGCCAGTTTACACCACCTGTATCAAACGTGTAAAGATGTTAAAGATTAGATTTGCTGATAATGAAGGCCAAAATCTAAACAACTGAGTCACCACAGACATGGAAGTTTTTCTAAGTTTAGAGTGGCAAGGGCCTTCTCTTAGTAACATAAATGTCATCCTGCAGAACGCTCCAGATTTTCTCAACTTCTTTGTTAAAACTATACATACTTTTCAATTAACTCGAAGCACTGGAGACTTTGTTTATAGCACTGGTAAGTCCCACACTTAAAGGAAACCTTAAAATGAACAAAGAAGAAAATACATAAAAACACTGCAAAATAAGTACCTGTACAGCCCGATGATTCTGCATGCTAAAAACACAAAACAAAAAGGATGGTTAGTTTCCAGTTCAGAGTCAGTGTGTCATACTTTGCAAATGTTTCATAATTTAACCTAGTGTTAAATATATTACTAACTTAGAACAGTGCTTCATATTTACATGAATAGTAAATACCATTGAGGATTGCTAAAACGAAAAAAAAAATGGATACTTCGTTTCAGCAAAGGACACAATCTATACTGACTGCAGGACAAACAAACAAACAAACCAATCAAAGGAGGTGAGGCATTACACACATTCATAGTTGCAGAGTCAGCATTCCTCAGAGCCCCTGCTGCAGGCTGGTTGTTGTGCTTGGGGCTACAGTAGCCACTGTCACTGTCAATGTCAGCTTCGCTGGCTCCCTGCTCACTGGAGGATTCGGCAGCAGGGTGGGACGCTCTTCTCCTCCTGCCTTTGGCTTTCCAGAGCATGGCTGCTGTGCTCTCTGAGAGAGACTTATTAGCAATGTCTGATGGGAAATCTACAAGGCAAGACAAGTAGACAATTCTCTGTGATGACCAAGTTTATACATTCTTGTAAATTACTAAGGTTCTAAGAAAATTAAAGTGAGAGTTTGTAAATGGAGAAATATGTCTCTTTGAACAGATCATATAAAATGTTCCTAGCCACTTACAACACGGCATCATAATGAAAATAAAATATTGGTCATAAAATACTAAGGTCATCAGCCATTTAATAAAGAGAACACTGCCAGTCTTTACCCCACCAGCCCACCTTCCTCGATCCTGTTACCACTATCCTGTGTTTATTTTTCACTCACTTTTCTGTATAGATTTTCCATAGATTTCTGTATTTCTAAAAAAGAAACGAGCTGGGCAGTGGTGGCACATGTCTTTAGTCTCAGCGCTTGGGAGGCAGAAGCCCTTGAACTCTGTGAGTTCAAGACCAGCCTGGTCTATAAAGTGGGTTACAGGACATCCAGGATTGTTTACACAGAGAAACCCTGTCTCAAAAAAAAAAAAAAAAAAAAAAAAAAAAAAAACAAAAAACAAAAAAACAAAATGAAACAAACAAAAAAATGAACAACAACAAAATAACAGTTTTGGGGCTGGAGAGAAGAAAGAGCACTGGCTGCTCTTTCAGAGGACCTGGGTTCAATTCCCAACACCCACACAACAGCTCACAACTGTCTGTAACTCCAGTTCCAGGAGATCTGACACCTTTATACCAATGCATATAAAATAAAGTTTAAAAAAAAAAGAAAGGAAAGAAATCATACTTTTACAACTCTTAATTGTACTGCTAAAATACTCAGCTATTATCTTGTTCCCTGCTACTTCAACACCGGTTTTAAGATTCTGCTGTATGGTGTTCTAGTTAATTAATGCCATTGTAGTACAAACTGCTTTTGCCTGGACATATCAATATATTTATCCTTTCTAACACTTAAGTATGCTTTGATTGATTATTTTGCATTCAGGAGACAAAGGCAGGAGGATCTCTGTGAGTTCAAAGCCAGACTGGTCTGCAGAGCTGAGTTCCAAGACAGCCAGAATCACGCAGAGAATTTCAAAACAAGCAACCCACTGCTGACTGGGGGACAGGGGCAATGATAACCAAAATGTACATTACACATGCATGAAAGGAAGGAATTCAATGAAAGCCAACAGCCTGAGATACATGACAGCAAATGTACATATGTACATGGAGGTTTCTGTAAGGCAAGTGTGAATGTACAGGACACACGATTCAAACTTGATCATGCTAAATCATTTTTGGAGGTGGTTAAAACAAGCTACATTCCAAGAGTGGTACGTAAGTATGCCAATGACTCACACAATACTTGATACTGACTCTCCAACCGTAACCTATGCCAATCTGCTGCACAGAAAAGGTGGCTTATTATGAGTTTTAATTTGTACTTTGCATTTAATAATGAGGTCAACAATCTTTTCTGATGTTTTTAGCTACTAATATCCTCCTGTGAAATTCTGATTAATTTTACTTTTAGTTTGACTTATACAAAATTTTCCACTGAGTTGTTTATTTTAATTTCACAAATATTAAGATGGTTTAAAAAGCTTGTTACAATCACCTCAACAATGCACAAGTTTTCCTTTTTCTATAGTTCTATTAATTCACAATTTTAAAAGACTGATTTTATTATTTGTTGATTTGTATCTGTGTGTGCTAGAGTTACAGGCAGCTGTGAGCCCTACCAGTTGCTTAGAACCTGAACTCAGGTCCTTTGGGAAAGCAGCAAGTGTTCTTCACTGCTGAGCCCTCCCTCCAGGTCCTCCTTCACAACTGACTTGATTTGGAGCTGTGCTGTTTAATACTATGTCATCGTGTTATGACAAGTCCTCATATTTTACTGCAAGATGGCTTTATACATTCTGTGGAGGGGCATCCTGTGTATTCACCTGTCTACCTGTCACTGGACACTAGGAGCATTTTGGTATTTAGGTTTTGGTATTTTTCTTGCATTACAATAACAGTTTAAATCTCTTTCAAAGGGATGTTACAAGCAGTTTTCCCACCAACCTGGTCCCACAGCCTCCTCAGCCCCCAATAACACAGAGATGCTGTATTACATATAAAGCTCTTGGTCTGTTACTAGCATTTCTTATTGACTAGCTCTATCTTAAATATTAACCTACTGTATTAATAATCTAAATGTTTCCACATGGTCTTATCTTACCAGAAAGAGGGTCTGCACCTCTTCTCTCAAGTCTCTACATCTTGAATCTCTTCTACTACATCTCACAGAATCCTCCTTGTCTCCTTGTCCCGCCTATCTTGCCTTCCTATTTGGCAACAGGGCTTTATTCATTAACCAATAAGAGAAACATATTTACAGAATGATATCTCCCATTAAAGGGGAAGCTCCATGTGGACACACCCACTATGAATTAACTGCAGCAAAAGAAAGATCCCTAAAGCCAACACTGCTCCAGCTCCCTAACCCCCAAACCCCAAAGATAGTACACCACTGTTTTTTTTTTATTATTACTAATCTTTCTCATTAGATACATAAAAAATAAATAAATAAATAAACCTTTTCCAAGCTTAAGAGTTTATTCTTTCACATTAAAAAACTCTTCATTTTGGAAATGACCCTCTTCCTGCAGCCAGGCAGTCACAAAGGCATTCTCTTTGCTCCCTGGTTTCTTTCTCATTCAAGTCTTGGTCAATCTGCAGTCACTTGAGTGGGGTATAAATCTGGGGCCTACAATGCTGCCCCTGTCATTTCCATGCATGTGCTTCTAAGCTTTCTGTTCAATTCTCTATACTACACTGATATTTTTTCAAAGCTGAGAGAAAGACAGCAATGTGGGAGGGAGGGGTTAGTGAGGAGAAAATGGGGCACACAGGGTGGGTGGGAGAAGACAGCCATGGGAGTGAGGGCAACAGAACCCTGCAGACAGGAATAAAACTGCCAATTAACTAACTTAAAAAGCATTAAGATTACTCTGAACTTTAATGCACAAAGGACTTCCCAGACCACCCTGCTCCTTTATTTTAGAATTACTTTGTTGAGTTCCCCAAAAATTCCTCCTGAGATTTTAACTATAACTGTACTCAACTACAGACTAAACTTTGGGGGTACCAGTGTTTGATAATCAAGTTTTCTAAGGTCTTAAACAACAATCTAAGGGTTCCCTCATGTATTCCCAAGCTTGAGTCTGAAATTCCTGAATTCCTGTTGCTGCTGTAAACCTTAAACTGTTGTTCATGATACATGGGAACACAGCTGATATTTGCATATTATCTTGTATCCAGACCACTGGGTTTTTTTGTTTTGTTTTTGTTTTTTTACATTTTATCTATTTACTTTATGTATATGTATGTGTGTAGGCCTGAGTGTCACAGTTGTGCGAGGGTAGGGTGGAGGCCTGAGGACAACTTGTGGGAGCTGAAGCTCTTCATCCACCATACAGATTCTGGGGATCAACCTCAGGTTGTCCAGTTTGACAAGAAATACCTTCACTTACTGAGCCATCTTGCAGCTCCCTTTCTTGAGTCTAGCCATCTTATATTCTTACTACATAATAATACAAGTTCGTTCAAAAGTAAAATCTGCTACAAGCAGAAAGACTTACTTCTCCAAAACTAATTACGTTTTCTCTCTTATTGCTGCCAGGTAAACCTCAGAAGTTAAAAACAAACTAGGGAATGAAAATGCTGACAGCACATACAATCTACTCAAATCATGCCTGCAATTCTTGCATTTCAGGAGGCAGTCCTTTTGATGACTTAAGGAGCAAAATAAAGTCTTTTCAGAGTCTCTCTACATAGTCCTGGCTGTCCTAGAACTCACTCTGTAGACCAGGCTAGACTCAAACTCAGAGGTCTGTCTGCCTCTGCCTCCTTGCACTAGGATTAAAAGTGTATGCCCCCTCCACCAAAAAAACACACAAAAAGCAAAACAGGCGTAATGGTACTTGTCTTTAAAACCAGCTCTTAGGAGGCAGAGGCAGGCAGATCTCTGAGTTTGAGGCTAGCCTGGTCTATAGAGAGTTCCAGGACAGCCAGAACTATACAGAGAAACTGTGTCTTAAAACACAAAAAAGTGTGTGCTACCACAGCTGGCTCTGACAGTAGTTTTTAGAACCTTGCTAAGGTTTACCAAAGGATGCAGAAATGAGTCACTGTGAGGAGGAACAGACTTAGAACACATATGACTTTCCCGATAGCTACTCCAAGCATGCAGGCATCCTATTAAACACACTGGTTTAGACCTTACAAACCACACAGCACTGGACATCAACAAGATGGCTTTTAACTAATTCCCACATCCTCTTTCTGCTCCTGAAGGACCTAAGCACCTGTAAAAGGTCATATAACTAAATATCCAACAGAAAAAGTTGAATAACAGACAGCAACAAGCTGCCTTATCCAAGTCAATTCAGAGTTTATCTTGGGGATTCTCTTGTATGTGACAGTCTTTTTATAAGTTTTTATGAGCATATATCACTTAATGTTATAACAAGTTTAATTATGGCATTTATAAATTTTTAAAAATTCATTTTAATGTTTAACAGGGGGAGAGTAATGTGCTTGTGAGCAGGTGCTCCTGGAGACCAGATGTATCAATTCCCTGGAGCTACAGGCGGTTGTGAGACAACTGGCCTGCCTGTTGGGAGCCAATCTCCCATCCTCTGCAAGAGCAGTAAGTGTTGTTAAGCCCTGAACCATCTCTACAATCCTTAGGTCTTTATGATATCCTTTGAGACAGGCTCTCAGTATGTAGTTGAGCTAGTCTTGAGCTCACAAGGCAGAGACAGGAGCCCCCACCCCCAATATGCAGGGAGAAAGTGACTAAGGAAGACACTAAGCATCAACTTGGAGCCGATACACACACATCTATCCAGGTTCGCAAGAATAAACAAGTAAACAAACAGACCACTGCCTTACCAGTTTGCTGTGAAGCATCTACCAGGAGCACAATTTTTGATCGGCTATCAGGACCTGCTGAGCTTGTTTCTTTCTGAGTAGCCACATTCTTCACCTGGGGTCTTTTGTTTTTTATATGTTGATGTAGAAGCTGTGGCTACGTTTAAAAGACAAAAAAACCAAAAAACAAAAACAAAGAACCCAGTAAACCAGTGAATGTATTAAACATAAAGTATGTTTTACATCCAGTACAAAAAGACCTAAATGTACACTACAAATCAGGGGCTCTTGGCTGATTTTGTGGAATTATTCACTAAGAAGCAATACAGGCTAAATAATGTATCATAAGCACATTTTTCTTAGATAACCATTAGTACTGTGATTAATAAAATCTGAGTTGATTTTAGTTTTTACCTGCATTTTTATTTTTTAAATCAATTACTAACAATTAACAAGATTTTATAGTGCCATATGAAGAGTTAAAACATTTTTATTTTAAAAGGTAATAAAAGCATGAAAAGTTATTCTATCACTAAATTTAGGCCCATAACAAAGATAAGCAAAAATATTTCTATCTTGGGAATCCAAACAGAAACTATTAAAAAGCTGATTTCTTTCTTCAAATTTTTAAAAAAGGGAGTAATTATTCCTTAACAGTAATTTCTTACACATCAGAACTCTTTCTGAATTGGGACTGCTGCTGGGAAGGCATTCTGAGAAGTCCCATTCTTTGAACACTTAGAAACTATATACTACAATCCTGCTTTTTAATACCAGTTCCTTTCATTCTTGGCAGTCCCTTGACCCATAATGTTTCCATGAACCAAGGAAAAACCTTTTCAAAGTAATCTCAGCTGCTTATTTGTTTTTAATATTTAAAACTTAGGCCAAAAGGCAGTGAAGGCTTTCTACTGAGGAAGCTAACTAGTGGAATCTGAGAGAGTGATAATTCTCCATAGTAAACACAGAGAAACGTCTTCCATCAGCTCAATAATGCTGGCTATAAACAGGCTTTTCTTACAGCTTTGATAAAAGCCCTTAATAGAAAAGCAGCCTGGGATAACAGAACACTCTCCCATGACTTCAGTGAACATTGCATTGCATCTTTAATAGATACATAAAACTTAAGTCAAATGCTGGTCTTGAACAGAAGTGGCTTCACACTTGTTTCTTAACAAAGCGCTATCCCTACTAACGACTCAGAACACAGATGCTGAGGTTGAAGGGATCTGAAAGACCACTAACACTAATCTTTCCCATTCTCCTGCTGATTTCAGAAGACTGAACAGCGCAGTGACGCACATTCAACCATGTGATCCATTTAACGTTGGCATCATCACTGTGCAGTTTTAGCAAAAAGTTGAAATAATTTAGAAATAACTGTGCATTGTGTTTATATAAAACTCCATGAATGGTCATGGAGATGATGTTACATTATCCATCAAAAATGAGGGGAAATATTTATCAGGAAAAATGATTTAAAATAATATGGCCATAACACTTTCTATTAGTGATGAATACTTTGTAGCTAGTTAAGCATTAAAGGTCAATGAACACAAGCAGTAAATTACTTATACTACTATTAACAACATATCATGTTTAAAAACTACACACAAAGAAAGTGGCCACTCACTTTTGGCACTACAGGCCCTCTGTTACCATTCCTGCTCCGATGACTGGACAACGGGAAGGCCTGCCCCTGCTGATGTGGACGCTCAGTGCATTCTGTGGTTATGGCATTGACAGTGTTTGCAGCCTGGAAGGTGCTGGAGTACGGTGTAGGAAAAGGATGATAGAAGCCCATAACTTGGGCACAGGGTGCTGGCATCAGCTGGTAATAGGTGTACTCTGTGGACACAGGTGGCTGAGCAGATATAATGGGGTAGGCAAGATAGGGTCCAGTAGGGCTCGGGCTGGGTTGTTGCCATCGAATATCATTGTTATATAAAGGAAACTGTCTGCAAAAAAAAAAAAAAAAAAAAAAAAAATGTACTGACAAGTCCAAGAGTAATATTAAAGCAGAACAAACAATAAAGACTTACAGAACAGTGCCTTCACAATAATTCTAGGGGAAAAGGCAAAACTAATGCTATCATGTGTCTTCCTGTTATAAGAGATGACCTGCACTTATAATAATGACGGACATGATAGTATAAAGGGATCCAGCCTGAGAGCTTGCTGAATTCCACATCCCTTTACTGCTTACAAACCTGCTCTCACTCTTCAAGACCTGCCTGCCTAAAGTGAGACACCTAGCTTCTGCACCTATAGCACAGCCACCCACAGTCCATGTTCAACACTCACAGCTGCCATAGCCTTCTGCAAAAACAGAGTCAGATGCTCAGCAAGTAATGTGACCCTTATATAGTGTCTCCCCAACACCTCAGCTGCCCTAGTCATTAAGCCAAATCAGGTCTCGGCAAGGCTTACCCCCTTGGCAACCTAAGCCCCATCCATGTCCAAGGAAGTCAGGCAGAAGACTTCACTGATACCTTTATCTACTCAGTTCCTACAAAGCACCCAAGATGCTGCCTTGTCTCAGCAGCCCTCTCACCTACAGCTGCTCTGGAGGACTAAGGGGTCCTCTTCCTCACCTTTGCATCGACAAAGCAAAACGGAAGAAAAAACTGACTATTAAAATCCTAAAAATACTTAAAAGACAATCTAAAGGATCGCTTGCTTATGAATTCTTAATGACTACCTCCCATAAAGGCAAGAAAACAAATTAAATTCATCACATTGCACATGGCTATTTTGCTACAGAGAGAACTAGTATTCTTAAATTCAGTTTATAAAAATGTTCTACATTGTCTGACAGTGCAATCTTTAAAAACAACAAAGGGTCTCAAGAAGCCTAGACTAGCCTTGACTTCAAGGATGACCTTGAACTCATGATCCTCCTGCCTCTACCTCTCTAGTGCTGGGATTACACATCTGTGACCCCATACCCAACTGAATCAAAGATTTTTCAGTGAAGTCTAAGTTCAATGGAGAAGGACTCTTTAAAGTTTGCCTAACTTTGAAAAGTCTGCAGTAAGAAACTCAGAATCTTCACTGGGGCATCACTATTTCCCAAAGGAGTCTGGTGACCTCATAAAATCACACATCCAGAATTTGACAAAGACTGCGCCCTAATATGATAGTGTGCCACACTGGGCTATACATGTGTAGATACTAGGTGCTTCAGCCCACAGACACACAGAGCCATACAGCCATTTATCCCATAATGCTGAGAAATACTGCGTCCTGTATGTGCCATAACTTGAAACAGGCTGAAAGTACATCTTTATGTCAATACAATGAACTGCAGCAATGGGGGCCCCATCAGATGTCTGGAAGGGTCAGCAGGCACACTACAACTATCACAAGTCCCACCCTAGATGCTACCAGGCACATGCTACTTGAGCTACAAGAACTTTGCTAGATTAGGAAACCAGCAGACTTGCACACCCCAACACCGGTCCCTCTTGTTTTCTTCTGTGCCAAATCCTGTCCTGGAAGTTATGAGATTAAGCATCTAATCTCAAAAAAAGGTTTCTTAACATTTCACATCTCTTTTGGGTCACTATACTGCAATATATTTCAATGACATGCTCAGAAAAATGCATTTCCTCCTCTTTAAAAAAAAAAAAGTAATGCATGTTGACAGCTTTCAAATTTCTGCATATTTTTTTACTTCCTCTTAAAAAATACAAATGAATGATTAAAGTTTGAAAGTTACAAAAGAAAAAGACTAATGTACTTTGCCAAGTTCTATATGCCCATCAATAAAGAAAAGAATAGAGAAATTACCTATTGGACTGGTTTTCCTGGACAAATGGGTAGCAGGTAATCAGATAACTGGGAATTGGTGTTGGCTCGACCCCCGAAACATTTCCATTAGCATTCGGGAGAGCCATAGGGAGCACAAATGCATCCAGATTCTTCTTCTGGGGAATAAATGGCTCTACTTCAGCGGAAAGTTTGACATTCTTCAAAGAGAAAACAGGAATGGATTACATATCAACAACCAACCAATACAAATTCAGCAGTTCTAAAGACTCTATAGACAGTACTCAAGAACATGTAGAAGAAATGGCAATGTCAACTTAAAGTAAGCAAATAACCAGTAAACAAGGAAGGACTTATCAAAAGTCACAAATTCCAGTGAAATCATTTCTTTTGCAGTCGAGCTGTTAGAATAATCAAGATTATAAGGAAGTCATATCTCAGATCTAAAAATACCGTAGCAATCTAGTTTCTCAGACCAAACAGTATTTTCTGCTAATTTTGTAAGGAGGAAAAGTCATTCAACATAAATTCTGAAGAAAAATTACATTTTTTTGAATAGTTGAGAAAGTAAGTCTATTTCTGACCATTGCAGGAAATTAAGTTTCATATCATTAAACTACAATGAAGGGAAATGTCTAAGATGAATCAAAAACATAAGGGAAAAATTATGCTTTCATAGTTAAACTTGGAGGGAAAAAAAAAAAAAAATCAGAGTAACCTTTCCCGGTAGATACCCAAACACTAATGTGACCCTAACATTGACTTCCATGTCAGCCTCCTTGGTTCCTGTGTATCTTTCTTATGATACAGTTCCAGAAAATTAAAGGCCATATAAAACTACCCTCTGAGAAAATACACACATGGAAAATATTATTAAGAAAACGAGCTCTGTAACAATGAGGACAGGAACATGCTCTTAAGAAAGAGTGGGCTGCAACTGGGAAGAGGTCCCTGGGGAGCTTGGGGATCCCTGGGAAGTTTTGTATCTTAGAGGGACTTATAAGCCATCCAACTTGTTATCAAGTTGTACATCGATTTTAGTAATTTTACGCACATATTATATTTAACAAATTTAAGTTTCTGAAACATATATATGTATACATATACACATACACACACACACACACACACACACACACACACACATATATGGTAGGCACAGTGACTCATTTCTGTAATCTTAGCCTTCATAAGGCTGGAGCAGGACTGCCAAGAACCTGAGAGCAGCCTGGGCTAAATAGTGAGTCTATGTCAGAAGGGATAGAACAAGACCTTATCTCCCAAAAGGGGGAAGAGGCAACTGGGGGCCTAATCGAATTGGTAGAGTAACTTTCTAGCATGCACAAAGCCTTGGATTTAATTCCTAGCACCGCATAAATCAGGCATGGTGTGCTGGCTTGGAATCCCAATACTCAAGAGGTAAAAAGTCAGGAGAATCAAGTTCAAAGTCATCCATCCTCTGCTACATAGAATTCAATGCCAACCTTGCCTCGAAAACAAAAATAGAATAAAAAAATAAAAAAGCAAGAAAAAAACAAAAAGTATGGCATAGTCTTCAAAATCAGAATTCTAACCCTGCAAATTTATAATCTAAAAAATACTGATGACCTTTTTATTAAAACAAAGTTGGTGAAATGCAAATCAGTATTTCAACCACTCAAAACAATTACCTAGCTGGCAGTGTCAGAACACATATTTAACCCCAGCACTTAGGAGGCAGAGGCAGGCAGATCTCTGTGAATTCAAGACCAGCATGGACAGCCAGGACAGCTAGGGCTACACAGAGAAACCCTGTCTCCAAAAAAAAAAAAAAAAAAAAACCGCCTAACTAGGACATTTTCCTACTAAAGTCATTATGATGACATTTAATAAAAGAACAAATGTATGAAAGTTTAAAGAGAAGGCTTAATGGACAGCTTTTACTCAGAAAAGCCAAATGATCCATCAACAGTCTAGGGTATAGATGAGAAGTGCTTGTTAATAGTGGGAGACAGGTCTGCACTACAAGCAATATTCACTTTGTTCCTCCCTCCTACCCCATTGAACTGTGGAGTCTGCATTTACACTATAAACCAAATCTGAAGGAGCAAGAACACCTACTTGTGAACTATGGATGATTTCCTGAAATGCAACTCAGGCAAAACATCTTCAAGTGTTAGGGAGATGGCAATTCTTACTCATTAAAACTGAACACTGATATACAATATACCAGTAAATGACTTACTTGGGAACAGAGGCTGACTTCCAACAGTGCAGAAAATAAAAGCTCGTTTTATATAGTTTATACGCATGCACAAAGTGGGAGAAATCCTATTTTAATTACACTAAAAAGCAATTTTTAGGATTTCTTGTAAAAATCAGAATTCTTCTAAACATTGAAGAACTCTGAAGAGTTGAAAACTCTAAGCTAATACTTATTAGTTTTTTATCAAGGAATAAGACTGCATTGAAGAAACTATAATGAAAAAAGGAATCATAGTAATTAACTATCATTTTAAAATAAAATTTTCTTAACTCTTTCCCCGTATCCCTTCCACCAAATAACACCTCATCAAAATCAAAACAACCTAATCAATTACTTTGGTAAGAAATTCAAATTCTTGTTCTGATCAAAAGTTGTAACAAACTTCTACACACAGCTTAATTTGTATTTTACATTTTACTTAAACATGTGTTATGACCTCAGGTAACTTGTTCATTAATGTATGGCTTCTTAAGCTGATGTGTACACACAGGCACAGGCACAAACACACAAACACACACACAGGCACACATGGACATGAATACATCCTTGAAGACTAAGGCTTGTACTGGTTTTTACTCTAAGTGAGATTCTAGATACCAAAGTTCAACAATAAAATTCACAAACATTGAAATGATCCTTTGTTTTAGCAAAGTGAGAGTGAGAGAGAGGCCACTATGGTCAACAGCTGCAAAGACAGAAGATGTCACCAGAAGGAACAGACTGACAAGCTTTCTCTACAGTTTCACTTTACATGTTTTCCAAAGTTGTTCACTGTGATTTTGAAGCCTTCAGTTATCCACCACACATCTGAACACACAGCCCAAAAAGCAATGCTGAGTGCAAATAATCCTTTAAAGTTCAAATGTCAAAATATAAATTTTGTCAATTTTTAATTAGTATAGAAATTTTTGAAATTTTTGAAAATATTTTAGTAGCTAAATTTTACTGCCTTTTTTTAAAAGTGTCTCACTATTTCCAAGTTAGCCTTGAACTCATGATCCTCCTGCCTCCTGCCTCTCCCCCTAATAGGAGTACCACGTCTAGCTCATGATCTGTATATTTATATAGACATATTTTTAAAGGTTTCTTTCATGTTCAATTATATGTATGTATGACTTTACGTGTCGATGTAGGTAAGTAAAGTAAACAGGTTTTGTGGCCAGAGGGGTAGAGTCCTGGGGAGCTACAGTTCCAGGTGACTGTGAGCAACCTATGTAGGTGTGGAAATTGAATTTGGGTCCACTGTCAAGTCCTATGCTCTCTTAACCACTAAGCCATCTTTCCAGCCCCTCATAATCTATATTTTGAGAAACTAAATCTCAAACAGTAAGGGAACTGTTACCTTACTATAAAGATATGCAAACTGTGCTAGAGAGATGGTTCGGCAGTTAATCCAGATTCCATTCTCAGCACCTACATGTAGGCTCGTCAGTAACTCCAATTCTAGAGGATCCAATGTCCTCTTCTGGTCCCCACAGGCACCAGGCATGCCCATGTGCATAGACATGCAAGCAGCAAGAACACACATTACACAAAATAAAATAATAAAAAATATAAAGTAACAGAAATAGTATAACCATTGTCGTATTAACGTCTGCTTCAAAAACCCAACACCGTGGCAAAACTATCTTTTACAAGTAATTTCAGAATTCCCTAAATTAATTTTTAAAAAAATCTGATTAATTCTGTCTGTGAAAATATGCATTCCACTCATTTTTAATTTTGAAGATATTAAAGCAAATGTCAATAATAAAATGGCATTTATACAAATAATCTAGAAAACCAAATGTGTTATCAGAACATAGAAGTATAAAGTTTCCTCCAGAGCATTCCTTAGCCATGCTCTGGGGTCACAGAGTGCCTAGAGGATGACCACACTGGCACAAGCTGGGCCAAGTGGGAACACAGGCAGAGATAGCACCCAAAAACACATCGAAGCAGAGCATGCATTCTGAATTCCTCAGAGAAGCCTCCAGGAGAATGCAAATAATCTCCCAGATTAAGCAACAGACAAGTGACACCCACCTAAAATCAAAACCGAAGCAGAACATAATGAGACCTTCTCCCACAGTGAAACTTCAGAGTATGTGCCACACACCCACAGGAAGGGACGGTGGAAGCCTCCACACTCAGTGTTAAGGTGAAAATGCATCAAACAGTAGGTGCTTTTTACACCCCCTGGTACAGATATAATAAGTGCCTTCAAGGGGACATGAGTGAAGCCAGATAGCTGCTGGCTGCACTGTCTCTTAAGTAAAGCACTTGTCAAGATAAACTGCAACTGTCAGTGTTCAAGGCTTCAGAGCACACTGAGGAAATGAGCAAGGGATTTACAGAGAGTAACAACTTACCTCCCGACCCACACACTTTTCCACAGGACTATTAAAGCCTGTTTAAAACTTGACAGTGGCCAGGCGTTGGGGGCACTCGCCTTTAATCCCAGCACTTGGGAGGCAGAGGCAGGTGGATCTCTGTGAGTTCAAGGCCAGCCTAGTCTACAGAGCTAGTTCTAGGACAACAGGCTCCAAAGCTACAGAGAAACCCTGTGAAAAACTGAAAAAAAAAAAAAAAAAAAAGAAAAACATAAAAAACTTGATAGTCTTTTCTTAAAATCAACAACAAAAAGCACCTTTTTACTTGTATAATTTTCATATATCTAATTTATTACTTTCTGCTCTTACATTTATTTTCTTTTTCGCTTTAAGTTTCTCCCAACCTCTTGCCTTGGATGAATAATTTCATTTTCCTTTTAAACTTTGTAACACACAGAGTATTCATGACTACACATCTGTTGCAGAGCACTTCAGTCACATTTCATAGGTTTTACATGTGATATGCAGTTATACTTTCCCAATAGTCTATCTTTTTTTTTTTGTCTCTGACCTTTAATACAGTTAATACTTTTCTAATTGCTTCTCATTCTGGTTTTTTTTTTTTTGTTTGTTTTTTTTTTTTTTTTTGTTTTTTTTTTTTTTTTGTTTTTGTTTTTGTTTTAATTTTGGGGTTGAAATGTCTTTTTAAATTTACAAAAGTTTTCTCAAAATGAACATACTCCCTAAAAGTGTTATTTAGCCTACTGGTGGTAACACATGCCTTTAATCCCAACACTTGGGAGGCAGAGGTAGAAGGATTTCTATGAGTTCAAGGCCAGCATGGTCTACAGAGAGAGTTCCAGGATGTCACATTAAAAAAAAAAAAAAAAAAAAAAGTCAGTTGTGTGACTATATAATAAAGGTTTTATAGTAACACTTAAAATACAGTTGTTCCTCACTGTCCAAGGCAGGTTACCAGATCCTCACTATAGACCTGACAGTCCATGGATGCTCAGATCTTGGAGGGAGTGTGGCATTTACACTCGGGCCATTCATACTCTCCAGTGTACTGTTTACCCATTTCCCTACTGCTTACAACAGCTGGAAAATCCTAGGGTTATGTTAAGTATTTATCTCTTACACTGTGTTGTTTAGGGCACAACAAGGACACAAACCTGCTCATGTTTAGTAGAGACTGAACTTAGACTCAAAGGTTAGAACCTGCAGGTGTGGAAAACTGACAATGCATTTAGTTTTGAGTGCTGGCATTAGCTAAACAGTTAAAACAATTATATACTTGCATTATATTACTTTAAGTTCATGTGTGTATGTGATGTGTACATGGGGTGTGGAGAGGAAACTTTCAGAAACTGGTCCTTCCTTTCTCCCTGGGTTCCAGGTTGTCAGACTTGGTGGCAAGTACTTTTACCAACTGAGCTATTTCACCAGCCCAGTTTTACATTCTTATTTGTGACAAAACTGCATGAAGCCACATTCATTGCATTTGTTTTTCTAGGAATGAAAGAAGCAAATAATCAGTGGTTTTTATAGACTATTTTAGAGTACTGTGACACTATAAAACAGCCTGTAAATGTCAAGGTTCCTGTCACTTCTACGATATGCTTTAATTTAAAAATTCCAAAACAATCCTAGATTTCCTAAAAATAGAGACACCGAATTTTTATAAACAAATGAACCCCATGATTTATTACTCACACCTCTTTATACAAGATTTATGATGATGTTGATGATGAAGAAAAAAAATGAGGCCATGGAGACAGCTTTATCAGTAAAGTACTTGTGAGAGACTGAAGACTTGAGTTTAGATGGGGGGGTGGGTAGTGCAGAGGTAGGTAGGGGCATGTGAGCCCACTGCTGAGAGGCAAAGGTAGGAGAAAGAATCCCTGAGGCTTGCTGGCAAACCGGCCAGCCAGTCAGTCTAGCTGCAACAGTGAGCTCTGGGTTCAGTGAGACACGTCATAAAGGTGAGGAGTCATTGATGAAGATATCTGCCCAACTTTGACCTCTGACCTCTACATGTTTATGCATACTATGCAATTTTTTTCCCCAATGCATCATACCAAGTAAAAACTGTTCTTGTAACAGCTACCTCTGGCAGTTAAAATTGAGCTACATGTTTTGACTTAATAGCTCTCCAGTTGTAAGATGATTTCAGTTATTACAATGAGGGCTATCCATCTAGCATTATATTACCAATGACTTACTTCCTAGAACATATACAAGGCTTGTCTGTTTATAAAGCCAGCTTGTGTAAATGGCAACTTAAAAGTCTATGGAAAGAATGCCTTCAGACACAAATGTTTAAATCTGTTATTCTTGTTAAGTCCTCCAAGGATTTATTAATTAGGCTAACTTGAAAATGCAACAAGTCTATTACTGAGTACAATTAAAAGATAAAAACAAACTTATGTAAACTGCTAAGCACCAGTTAATGCTGTAGGAATTTTCAGAAATTCTAAATGTAAGCCAGCACTGGTTTAAAAGGAAAAAAACAAAACATTTGGAGGGTGGTGGGAATCTAATACTTCTTGAGGATTTTTGCCTACTTAAATGCTCTTTAGTAGGTCTCCCAGGACAGACTAGGCTGAGGCAAGAGATATTGGAAGGTGGAAAAACACCTTTAATAGAAAATAATTTACATGGTTTTCTTGTTTGTTTGTTTGGGGTTGTTTTTTTTTTTTTTTTTTTTTTTTTTCCCTAGCTCTTAGATTCCCATAGGTTTTGCAGATGGTGGAGTTTGTGGGATGACAGAGGAGGACACTCGCTAAGCAGCTTGGTATACTTGCTCTTAAGATAATCACATGTAGAGAGCTATGCTAAATGTTACCATCTAAATAGGTAATTACACTCCCTGTTTCCTCTAAGATGAAAGGAGTTCTGAGTATATACATTACTGGTTCAGAGTGTCCCACCCTTTCATCAGAGTTGCACATGCAAGGAAATTTCCTTTTCTTTTGTCAAAGTTTGAAATCTCCCATTTCTTTCAGAATTACTTTCAAAAATGTTTTCATTAAATATACTATAAGCTGTAACAGAATACTCTGGGCCACAGGGAAGCATGTATTTACCAAGAAGCACTGCATCCATTTTCCTCTAATACTTTGTGCTCCTTAATAAAAAGAGTTATATTCTCACAAAGCTTTTCTTTCCTTTTTAAAGTCTGTGTGGCAAGGCCCTGTGGAAAGTGCTGAGGCAGGAAGATCGCTCCTAAGAGATCTAGACTAGGACGGACACTATAACAAGTCTCAACAACAACAGAAATGACAAAGTGTACAAAACTAGAAAGTTGTGTTTTGGCTTGAAAAGAGTGTAATTCAAAATCAAAACTGTCATTTGCTACATAAAAACATATACAGGGATTTTGGGAATGGCGTCTCGTTTCTTCGAGTTAATAAACTATTTGCAAAACTAACAGGCAGGTCACCAGTGTTTCTTCTCCCTTCAACTATGTGACTAACTGACCAAGGCTTTGGATGAGGAGAACTGACAGTAAACAAAAATCAGAATCAAATTAAGTCATTTCCAGAGTAGCTGTAACAACTTGGGGGAGGAGGAAGCATGACACTATTCTTTTAAGTTTTTTTTTTTTTTTTTTTTTTTTTTTTTTTTCACATTGTCACTAGCCCTTCCTCCCAGCATTACCAGCAAGAATTTGATGCAATCAAAAACTAAAAAGACCACTAATGGAACTATTGTGCGAATACGAACAAGGGCTCAAGAGGAACTCTTGCTCCTTTTCAAAAAGGAGATTTGCAAAATAACTAGCTAGGAAAACAAGGGAGAAGGCAGGAAAGGAATACACTCCAGACCGCTGCAAGAACGACGTTTGCCTCCGCTGAGCACACACCGGCCCCGGTCCACCTCCCCCGGCCTTCTAGCCGAGACGGCCTGGCTCGCCCGGAGGCCCGAGAGCGGCCCCGGCACTCGCGTACCTGCTCGGCCGGCGCTCGGTCCATGGCGCCGGCGGCGGGCGCCGGCTCTAGTCGGTGTGCGCAGCGCCGCGGGCCGCTTTCTCCATGGCCCCCCGCTCGGTCTCGCCGGGTCCGGTCCTCTCTGCACCGCCGGCCGGACGCCGACTCGGCTACGCCACTGGCCCGGGAGGCGGCTCCAGCTCGCAGCGGTGGAGGCGGTGGCCGCCCCGGGGAGGGATCATCTGGGACGGAAGCCGAGCGGGGCCGAAAGGGCGGAGGCGCAGTAGGAAATGGAGGTGCTCAGGGGCGGGACGAGGAGCATCCCGAGTGGGGGCGTCTGGAGGACGGCCAAGGCCAGGGACACAGCTTGTTTGAGAGTCGAGTTCACTCCTCCTGGAACTGTTTACGACTCTGTTGAGTTTGCTGGGACCTCGCAGTCTCTTCAAGAGCCAGAGAACGACTTGGGATATTGGAAGGGTTTGTAGCTGCTCGCTAGTCATGTGATCCTGCCAGGACTCCAAAAGAATGAAAACAACAGTCTTGCTATGAGAAAAGTGCACAAATAAATTGCATACACAAAGTAGTCGTGGCAAAGAAGCCCCGTTTAAAAGCTCCACAAATTATTATTGTATTGTTCGGGTTCAGAATCACGTCTAGCCTCAATTCCAGGTTGATTTTGCCCATCTCAAAACTTTGTGCTGAGAATCTGCATAACTACCCTAGAAGTGATCTACTTTTCTGCCTTCCCCCTGTGCTTATGGATTGCTCCTTGTAATCTTCAGGTCATCAACTCCTTCAAGGCAGGGTCAGCCTTGAAACTGGACGCTACTGTTAGATTCCCTCTGGGGATTTGGGCACAGTCTCCAACACACACAAGCTCTCCAGAAGAGTTCTGGCTTGATAAAGTGAATCAGCTGAATTATATATACCTCAGTGAAGAAAGAGAGTAGGGTTAACTGCTGTGTAAGTCACTGGTGAGGGGATCAATGTCTGGAAAAGGGAAAGAGAAGTCTAAGAAATTTGCTTTGTCATCATGGTTAGTCAAGCCTAGAAATTGCCCTTTTGTTTATTCCAGGTTATTGGTCTGGTTTTACTTGAAGCCTCCAAGGAGAGGCTGGTCTATGAAGGTCCTAACTGTGCTAAGGTGGGTGCTGTACTTTTGCCAGCTTAAAAGAGCTGTATTATGTCAACAAGATGTCTGAAGGCTAGTATGCACACAACATGATGGAGAAATATTTATGTACATGGAGATTTTCATGCATTTGGTTTTACTCTTTGGCCATATACACACGTTTATTTAAACTGCACACACATTTGTGTTAGAAATATGCCAGTTGTGTACTGTTAGGTCCTTTAGAGTCTGTTACATACTGCTGTTCAGGTTTCAATGAGTGCAGAAGGAATTTAAGGTTGTTCTACAAAATGAAGCTATTTATATGGGGTAGTTACATAAGTTAGCAGATGTTCATCCTCCATTCCAACAGAAAGACGAAAGGAACCGTGTCCCTTCTGGTAGTCGTTAGCTTCGAGACACCCCCACCCCAACCTGAGTAAAAAGTCATAAATGTACTATAGTATTTGAGGTTTTTCCCCTTCTCCCAAGGATCTGGAAGAGAAAATTTAAATACAGAATCTCTATCCCCCCATTATGTGATTTTTGTGACTGAAATTGTTCTGGTTGAGAATCTTCTAAATCCAATATTTATGTAAATTATAAGAATTATAGAAACAAGAAGTGTCGCTGTCATATTAATTTACTGGAATCCCAAAAAAAGGTGGCTCTGGCTATTAAAAAAATGTAAATCTATGATGGAAACAAAGAAATTTAAAGAACTATTTTAAGATGATACAAATGAACTACTTTATTTAGCAACAAATGTTAATATTGTCAATGTGTCAAGTACACTGCCTGTCACTGGAAGTACAGCAGTTAATGAGACATAGTGAGGACAAAGGCCATATTTGTTTAATGGGCAAGACACACACACAACAAGTAATTCCAAAGAAAATGTATCTTGACAAAGAAACCCAGTAGGAACAGGGATTGAAACCAGAGAAGGTGGATCTGAAAGAACAAATTCTGAAACGACCAGGCAAGCACTGTAATGTTGAAGAGGTTGCTGTTGTAAGCAGAATGCAAGTTCAAGGGCTGCCAAGGCTAGATAGATAGATGGGTTGCTAGGGATATAGTTCAGTGGTAGACTGCATGCCTAGCATGTACAAGGACCTGGGTTCAACCCCAGCAGGGCACCAATACATGCACACACATACACACACACACACACAAACACGAAGGGGGTGTGGCAAGCCCTCTGAGGAGTTGAGAGGGTGCAGGATACAAAAACCACTGGAAGAAATTGGACTGCTATGGAAGTAGAGACAGTCCACTGTGTTGAAGGAGAGGTAGAAAAGATACATTATGGCTAGAGTAACATTGAAGGGACATGTCCTAATAGCTTTTCATTTCTCCTTGAAATAGGATACAATGTAGAAACATATTTAAGATGTGGGCATAATTAGGAGTACTTGCCAACATAAAACAAACTCAATGCTATATTTTTAAGCTTTTTGTGTCATTTTGGGGTTTTTTTTGGCATTTTTTTGTCTTACAGGTATTTTGATTATTATTTTGATTTTCCTTTTGTGGGTTTTTTGTTTCTTTGGGGTTTGTTTGCTTGTTTATCTCTCTTTTTTTTTTTCCTTGAAAGAGAGACAGACCGTGAAGTTGGATGTGTAGGGAAGTGGGATGGATCTTGGAGGAGTTGGGGGAGGGAAAAACATGGCAAAAATATATTCTTGAAAATTTTTTAAATTAAAAATAAAATAATAAATTAATATATTTTTAAGATGTGTACATGTCATCAGATGTAAATTTTACAACAAAGGAGTGAAGTAGAAACCAAATCTAGTTTTAACAAATGTACACACCATTGTAACCCAATCCCTTTTGGTTTTTCAAAACAGGCTGTCCTGGAACTCACTCTGTAGTGAAATTTGAGACAGGACTTCTTTGTGTAGCCTTGGTTGTCCTGGAATTAGGTCTGTAGTGAGGCTGGCCTCAAACTCAGAGATTCCCCTGCCTCTGCCTCCCAAGTGCTGGGATTATAGAGGTATAAAATACTATGGCTTTATTGTTTCCAGTGGTTTTTAAAAATTCTCTATTTCTATAAAGAACTGGTTTATTTATAGTTTCATTGTTTAAAATGTTTAGTCTGATGAGAGTGCTCAGAAGCTGAAAGTATCTCCCAAGCCTGACACCTGAGTCCCAGCCCAAGAGCTCACAATAGGAGAACCAGCTACAAGGTTGTTTACACACACACACACACACACACAGAGAGAGAGAGAGAGAGAGAGAGAGAGAGAGAGAGAGAGAGAGAGAGAGAGAGAGAGAGAGAGAATAAATAGTACCAGCAGGGTTTGGACCTGAGGGCAAGAACTCTGGAACTGATTTACACCCCTAGGAGAGAACCTCTGGGGCAAATGATCTGGCAGCCTGACAGAATAAGCCATAAAATCAGGCCAGCATCTCTGAGAAGGCTCACCATACCTTTGACTTTATTTCCTACCTCCCTCCCTCTTCCCCACCCCTCATTTGGCACTAGCAGACTGACCTCCAGAATGAATTGTGAGCATATTCACTCCTGAGACTCTGTCCTGGTCTTGCTGTGAAGACTAGCATGAGCAATTTAGTGAGACCCTGTTTCAAGATAAAAAGTCAAACAAAGGCTTTAATGCTAGAACACATGGCCAAGATCCTGGGTTCGGTTCCTAGTACCACAAAACAAACCACAGTAAAATAGCATTGCCTCATGGACAAAACTAGAAAAAGCCACCCTGAGGAATGTCCTTCTATATGCTGTGAATATATGTTTCTCTTATTAATTGATGAATAAATGTGTTTTGGCCAATGGACAGGCAGGATTTAACCAGGTGGGAAATCCAAACAAGGATAGAGAAAGGCTGAGTCAAGGAGATGCCATGTAGCTACTGAGGAAGCAAGCCACCCAGGCATTCTCCGGCATGCCAAGACCACGTGGAGATACATAGATTAATAGAAATGTGTTAATTATTAAGAGAGAGCTAGACAATAAGAAGCCTGAGCACGCTATGTGTTTATTTGGAACTAAATAGCTGCTGGACCCAGCAAGACAGAAACTTCCAGCAACAGTAACCCAGACCCAGAAAGACAAATATAATATGTATTCACTCATAAGTAGACATAAAGCAAAGGACAACCAGACTACAGGACACGACCCCAAAGAACCTAAGTAACAAAGAGGACCGAAGGAGGGATCCACCTAGGAAGGGGAAAAAGGACAAGATATCCTAAGTAAACTGGGAGCATGAGGAGCAAGGGGGAAAGATGGAAGGGGAAAGGGAAGGAGGGAAGGGGAATAGGGAAAAGTGTATAGCTCAATAAAAGAAAAATGGTGAAAAAAATAGCATTACCTCTCATTTATGGCCTTTTCTGTGTGGCTCTTAGCGCTACTATAATGCATTACATCTTACCATTTGGTGTACTGACCATCAATTTCCATGGAAGCTCCGTGAAGACAAGGGTTTTGGGTTTTGATTGCTGAGTATTTAGGTTTTGTTCACTGCTGGATAGTTCTTGTGCTCAAATCACCATCAAGCACACAACAGGCCGTGAACATATACTCACAGTAGCTATTGTAAGTAGAAGTTCTGAGTGACTGAGTGACCCTAGTGACTGGATTCATTAAATATGCCTTAGTCTAAAAGCCTCAGCAGTAGTCTTGGTTAAACATGTACTCTTATCTCCTTGTCTTCATGCAGTGCTTCCTATTTATCTGGCCCCTCCCAGATTGAAAATTATTTCATCTATTTCCTGGACTCAGCCTGAAATTTCCCCCAGCTTGTGCCAAGCCTGAAAGAGTCTGCCTTAAAACTCCCCTCGCTTGTGCCACATCCTGCCCTAAATTATTTGTGTACTGTGTACAATTATCTGTGCAATTGTTTTCTTCCCTGAGTACATACTCCTTGATAACAGGGTTACTTAATAACGTTTGTCCAATGAATGCATGAGCTCGCATTTACAGCTGACTCAGAGTCAGCAGAAGCAAAGAAGAGGGGCAACTAAATGATGGGCTTTAATGGAATCCCTTAACTCCTTTGATCTATAAATTGTATGTGGATTTTAAAAAGCAGAAGATAATAAAACCCTCCAAATGACTTGTGGACGTAAGGTCAGCTACACAATAGCCAAGTGATGTTGCGCAGGTAG